CGGTTTGAAGGGTGGGGCAGCCGTTGTGACTATACTGAGACCTTAGAACTATATCTCAAAGGTGTGGCGCATTTACGTTGTAGATGTCTATGGGCTCCAGTAACCACTTAACACCAGGTGGGCTGTGAGCTCGTCCACACATCTAAGCAATAAAAAATAAAGCTTAGCGGTGCTCCTAGTCATGTTCGTACTGATGAGTGTCAATGACTACATCATCATACTCTTTTAAACAAATAACACTACAAGTTGTTAAATAAACAATATTTTTTTCTGTATTTTTTCATTAAAATATATTGAACTTTATAATTACATAGTAATCTAATTATTGAACTTAAAAATACACTTGCATTTACTATTTCGCCCTTCAGTCAGTTCTATTGAAATTAAATTATAAATGGAATAATTAAATAAATACAACCGCAACGTCCGCAGCTAAATATAGAGAGGACATCAGAGCGCAGATGTTGTACCTAATTCTGACTCATCCTTGCTGTCCGCCATTGATCACGGATAAACTCGGTGACCATCACCTTGTCGAATCAAAGTCAATTACATATAAAAAACAACTAAGTATCTATATTACGTTAGTAGCCCAGAAGCGTATACATACGTATTGTTATGGTTGATCGTGACTGATGAATACAAATTTACACATATCGCTGTTCAAAACATATACGATGTCAAAAGATTATCTTACCGACAATAATTGTGGATAATATAGTAAGCCAATTAAAGCGTGTCCATCTCTTGAATCATTGTTAATGCCGATGTCGACGTGCAAGTACTGATAAAGGACGCCAAACTTAAGAGATCAGTGACCCCGTCTCGCTTGCAATATCATGAACAATATCTGGCCTGTTAATATGTGACAGTAAGCTATGTATGAAGTCTGAAAGGGAACTTTTATGTTTAGCGATCGAAAAAAGCAAACAAAAACCCTTAAACTAATAGCTATCTGTATATTTAGGAAAAAATATAATACAAACTAAATTCGGTAATACTATATGAATTAAATCTTTAAAAAAAAGTCATCGTAAAACTATGATACAGTATTATAATCTACTAGCCGTACTCGCCCGCTTCGCTGGGCATTTAAAATTAACATTATTATTTATTGTCATTATTATTAGCGAGTCTAACACTCATATAGATATTAGCCTATCCATTAAGTACATGTATTTTCTACATGGATACCAAGTTTCATGTCAATCGGATGCATGGTTCAGTAGTTATAACGGAACGTCCGTAAAAAGCACTGTAGATTTATATACTAGTATAGATTACGTAACTTAGAAAATATAGCTTACCACCATTTGGTAAAAAATATTTTTCTTTAATTAGCAATGCAATTATGACTTAAAGCAGTCGAAAATTACTTTTTTATTCCTCAGACGGCTGTACGAGCTCACTGTCTACCTATTATCAAGTATTTATCCGAGCTCACAATGTGAATGTCGCCGCTTTTCTTGAGAATGAGGACTGCATTGTATTGTAAGTGTAGCGACTGTCCCACTGTTCAAACTGAAGCGCAGTACTGATTCGTGGCACATATAGGCTGGGTGATGGTACCTACCCACGCGGTCTCTCAAGGCATGAGCAACTACGCAAATAATCGCGGGTTTGATTTAGATACTATAACGCCAGTCCTTCACCCATTCGTTAACATACGCCAAGTACTAATTACATTATATTAATTACGTCAAATCCTTGTAAAACAGTAGAAGAAACGAAACAAGCAATAAAATGTAACATTTACTGCTAGAAATGTACAGTCATAAAAAGCTAAATATTAATAATAATTACACGCACATCTGTCAACACGTCGTAAAACAATCGTGTTGAGACATTAAATATATACTTAAAATGTTGCCATATTAAGTGTTTTTTTTACTTATTTATCGTTTATGATATTGCGAAAACACAGTTTCCCCGTGCTACTGCAATCATTACGTGCACACAAGTGTCAAATACTGAAGTATTGGTATTCTAGAGGCATCAACTATCGATTATTTTATTATACAATTTAAATACAAAATTCCATACATACATACAAAATCGCGATTCCCGATGACAGGAAAGAACATAAAAATTTAGAAATAAAAGAAAAACAGCGGCTTATGTCGAGTCTCGAAGCTCTGCGCAGTAGGCCACAAACGCGTTGCACTCACACCAGTAATTTATTCATAAACTATTAATCATTTATGTGACCAAATTTTTGATTCGTTATGTCAACTTGGTGTTGATCAAACTGTGATGGATGACATCATCGAGGCACACGCAAAACCATATTAGACGCACGTAATATTCAAACAAAAAGATAGACATAACATCGCACTCGTACATAACTTCTCAACTACTTGTTAACAATGTAAACTAAATGTTCTCTGGACAGTGAAACTAAAATTGAGTTCCACAATAATATATTGAGCTAGTTTGAATTACAAAAGACCGATATGGCACACTCGTGGGTTAATGTCAAATATGGGACTTTAAAAAAAATATGTTATAGTAATTGAAGACATGAGCGGATCTTCAACCCCTTCGGGTTAAGTACTCTCTCTCTCTTTTCCCAGCTATTTATCCCACATGGTGGTGGGGTCAGCTTTCCTGACTTTACTCCTCCGCTTCGCTCTGTCTTCGACTTCGGGTTAAGTACTATTTTTAAAATTTTTGAGTTTTTACATAGAATGAAGGTGCTATGTGCCTATAAACCATATTAGACCTTAAAACTCCGGATTTAAATGTTATTTTTAGAAATTGCATGCGATAAAAGAGTTATATACGAATAAAAAGTACAAGTAAGAAAAGTTTGTTGCTTGTTTTCTTAAATTTAACAAATTGTATCATATCACCTTCATCCACTCATGTCTGCCATTGTTAAATGACTGAACTGACTAAACACTAAGTTACACACAAACCTTATACATCTACGTTTAAGTCTATAATGATATATCGTCTTTTCGCATTAAAACTGTATAGTCTCAAAACTTACTAATTTTACAGGAGAGTGTTTTAAGTTAACGGTTTAACATGTGATATTTTTAATATTATCACCTTTGCAACATTTATGTTTTTATTTTTTACCAGTTACATTATCTGTCTTTTAAAGTAAGATAAAATTATGTGTTAATTTTGTTAATAGTAGTAAAAACATAGGAACTAAAAAAAAAAGTAAACTACGCTCTTTTGACAGTATTGAACACATGAGACAGATGAGAAAAATACTGGTGATACCAAATGATTCCACATATTAACTCAATTTCGAATACTTTTCGAGATTGTACAATTTTAATGCGAATAGACGATATTTGGATAGGAAAGTTGAATGCCAACAGAAGTTAGGAATCCATTGTTGGTGTCTGTCTGTTCGTTTGTATTGAGGTCGTTCTGATGACAACGCCGAAACTCGGTTACGGAGCAATGCGCTCGCGAACACTACCGTATGCGCGCCGGATTCCTCTCACGCTCCAGTTGCCACAAATACCACTAATTGTATTGCATTTGCCACTACACGGTTGTGGAATCGTATAATTTTACACATTGTGCTTCTCGCTGCATACGCTTTAATAAAACCCGTGACGACAATAATTAATTTCTCGAATACGTCATCTACATATTTGCTATTTCAGGTGTCAGTAGAGATGTTTTTAAATGTTCGTCAAATACGGAATTATTTGTTATAGCGGCCCGCCCTGGCTTCGCTTCGGAAGTAGCGCACGCGATGTAAAGAATTTTAGTTAATTTTGTTTACCCATTGGGTTACATTATTGGATTTTCAGTAAGGATCCCTAATTTTTTTGAAAATATAATAAATATAGCCTATGCCACCCGGGAATAGCGTAGCTTTTCAACAGTGATAGAATTTTTTAAATCGGTTCAGTAGTTTCGGAGCCAATTCAATACAAACAAACAAATCTTTCCTCTTTATAATATTAGATTAGATTAAATTCTAAAAATCTTGAATTACACTGCATCGCAATGTTCTAAACAACATTATATATATGTACTTTTGATATTAAAGCGGTTTTCTACTCTGCTTTGCGCCGTAACTTAAGAATCGCAACAATCGTACTAGGAAATCGATACCTGTTTCATAGTCTCCTTATGCATTTTTTACGTAATTAAGTCAGGGTTTCCTTATCATGATAACTATTAAATCAGATCCATAATTTTTATATTGTTCATCAACACTTTCAAAAAACTCTTAATTGATACGGTCATTACATTATAACACTTTCACTTTAGTTGAAAGAATAACCGTAATAAGAAAAAAATATTTTAAAAAGTAAGAGAAATAAACTGTTTTCACCTAGTCTTTCAGAATAACGTGTTTAATTTTGTTAATGAGCGTAAAATTAAAACATTCTATTAATCCGTATGATGTTTAATGCCGCCTAAATTTTCACTGGACTTAATATGGCTATCTTGAAATTAAAGTTCCCAAAAGATAAAAAAAAGTTGATGTCTATGGCCCCGGGAACCACTTAACACCCGCTGAACCGTGAGCTCCTTCACCAGTCTAAGAAACAAAACGAACATTCTATTGCACATGATATAAAGTCGTTCTGACTTTAATAGATGTCATCTTTAGGTATGATTCCAAAACCTGACCTAGAGTGATAAAAATTAATCGTAAAAATGTAATGATTAAAGTATAAACTATGAACTCGTTGCCACGCTACAGCAAAAACTCCCGCATTAGTAAACACTACCTTTGTACTTGTATAATAATCAGAATGTATAATATTAAGTGATTTTAACAATTAAGAATTATCAATTCTTAAGTAATTACTTATATGTTTTAATTTTTGTTATCATAACTAGTGATGATCGAAGATTGAATTACTAACCTACTGAATGAAACCAACCTTACGATTACGCAATTAAACCGAATGGCGTAGCTTAAAATTGTAAATGATTTTTCGTTCTATTCCCAATAAGGAAATTCACTAGTAGGTGGATAGAATAATGAGCCATCGCCGCTCCAACTGGGCCCGACCGCCGATAGTTTGTGAGTGGCCTCCGCGATATCCACACGGTTGTTTTTCATTCAAGCGCGCTCTTCGTGGTACTCATATTCGTACTCTTCAGTGTTGACTATAGCACACTTGTTACGATGTAAATAAACAAAAAAAAAACCGTGCCCCCGCCTCTGACTCACAGTCCGCAGTTTTAAGTATGTAAACAAGATTGTGTTGTGGAATATATTATTGTAGTTTGTGGAAAATAATTATACTTGTTGTGATACGTAGATAATACTGAGTGAAGCTTCAGTTAACGTTTGTTTTTTACGTAAAGGATGCCGATTTGCCAATACAAGGTCGTATTTGGATTCGTTCAGTAAGTACATCAGTCTTAGACAATAAAGAACAATAATGTAAAATAATAATATACTTGTACAGTTATTTAATTTATTTAGAGACTATTTATTATATTAATCAAGATTTTTATTGAATTATAACATTTAATTATTTTATTCGTATGAATATCGACCTTGTGACTCAGGCTAACTTAGTACCTTTACCAGGCTAGAAGTTTTCCAAAACTAAACGTCAAACTTTAATATTATCAAGTAAAGTTTATTTAATAAACATCTCAGGAACACTATATGAATATAATCGATTTAAACACGTGGTAACCTAATAGCTAATGTTTTACGACTTGGTTGAGTCACGTTGCAATAAATATGGGGTGCGACCACTATTCTCGTGCTGTAAACTATATTAGGCAGACTAGCTGTGAAACGTAACTCGCCAAATAGACCCCAGACATGAAAACGTCCGCAGGGAAAGGCGAATCATTCATAAACGTCATAAAGGGTTCCTTCATAAGGGGTTCTATGATGTTGATTACTGATATTATTATGCTTATAGAAGTACAAAAAACTGGATTTCATTATATAACACTTAACAGAAGTATAGGATCGTATTATGAGTAAAAGAAAAATTCAACATATTTTACTCGTAATGTTTCCAGTGAAACATGGAATTTCCGTTTGTAAAGACCTTGCCTAAAGGAAGGAAGCAATTTCACTAGTAATAAACTTCGTAACAAGACTAAATATTGCATTGACTTCGTTGGATGTTTTCTAAAACTTCACATTTCTTAGAATATCCTAGAAAACTCACAGAAAAACAGCAACGTAAACTACACTTATTTTACGTTGTCGTGGGAGTTACGAATGTTTTTGGAGTCTTACGAGAAATAAATCTGAACAAGCTAGTTTATATATATATACGACATTAGCATTATTTTGTTTTTAAGATTAGAAGAAGATTATTATTAATAATTCGAAGAAGATTATTAAGTTTTTGTGTTTTTAAAACGTACAGTGAATAAAATTATAGTAGTGGAAATATCTAATAAGAAATTAAATCTATTTACTCTCTTTACTCAGAAATAAAAGCTTAAAAATAAAATAATAAGAATGGACGACAAAATTATAAAAATAAATTTTATTTGATTGCCCACCTCAAAGCCCACGCGTGATGTTACACTGTTACCGAAACCTATAGAACAACAACGTCAAAACAATGACCCACTTTGAGACATAAGCTTGAATCTCAATTTAGTCAATCGCAAAATGGTGGGTACCAATCTTCTAATAACAACAGAAATAACAGCTGAAAAGACTTCAAATAGGCGAACGTCATATAAAATCTGGCTTATCTATATATTAATACGTGAAGCAAAAACTTTGTACGCCTTTTTACGAAAATTGCGCGAACGGAGTAGTATGAAATTTCTCACACTTACAGAGAACAGAAGTGCAGAACTCTAATATATTTTTTTAATTGTGCATTAAAAATACATTAAATCAATAAAGAAAACATTACACACACTACTATGTATTTGACACAACACATACGTATATATACTCTTAGTGTATTGTCAATCGTGAAACTTTTGTTATTCTTTAGAGTCTGTGGTCAAATTGAGAATAGATTAATATTGTTTGTCTTTAATATTATTTATTTATAGTGTAGTTTTGGCGAAATCTGTATTATTATAGAAGTATAATAGTGCTTGAAAATAGAACCATAATAATGTTTAAACTTTTAATTTCAATTAATTATAGTCGAATTTCGACTACCAGGGGATCACTAGTTAAAATAATTAACCAACAAAGGAGGATGATTGACACGTTATTCTAACATTTTATCAATGTAGAACAACTTTGACGGGGTGATGAAAAATGTTGTTGTTTAGTGAACACGCCGATCGCGGTCTCGGCGGGATCCGATGAAAGTGAAACGTGCACATGGTCCCGTGGTCGTTCAACTCGGCACGCGCCGCTGTCTGTTCGAGAGCCGATCCATCTCTCATTGGTCTTATTGCATTGTGGCTATGATTTCTTCAACCCCGCTACAGCCTCATGTTTAACTAACGGCTTCTAGAAAACCACAATACTTATCCGTGAAAGTGCGGGAAATCTTGCATAGTGTATAAATATGGAAATGTGTTAATGTAGAGATGAGAAATGTTGTTTTCTTTAATAGATGGCATTCTTGTAATTTTTTTGTACTTGGACCTAGTATTGTAGAACTAAGTAAGTTTCATGTCATAACCAAATCTCCATAATATTGTTTAGTCGTCTTGTATTTTTCCGCTTGCAACCGCAAACAGCTGCAATACATCTATAATTGTAATGGAATTGTTTATGTAAATACATTTGGCCTACAACGTACTGCAATATCTATGTATCCTGTTATCACGTCGCCTAATTTGATGAGACGTTTTATGCAAGAATGCTGTTTGTACTTATGACTTAAAATGTTCACGCAATTAAATTGAAGAAAAAAACTTCGTTTAGATCCATAAGATATGCACGTTTAGCTTCTGCGTTACGGAATAAGAATGTTTAATTAATCCACTTAAAATTAGAAAGTACGTTTAGACGTTTAAAAGGTTCGTAACAGACATAGATATGTGGCTGCATGATACTCACGCAGGGTATAATCACGATGCCTCCAATGAACACTACTTTAACTCAAAATTTTGAAATTTTCGTTTTTCACGCAAATCGCTTCACTATTTTAAAAGTATTACAAATCCTTATTGATGGGGTTCGAAGCAAGAGTAAATCAGCTATAGTTACACAAAATAAAACCGTAAATATATCTGCAATAATAAAGATTTTTTCAACTTTTTTCGTTTAAACGCTCCTCCTGTAAACCTACGAATTTTGAGTTAGCGTAGTGTTCATTGGAGGCATCGATCATGACATTACTACGCCTAGCAATGTGGGTGGTAATAAGAACAAACATTCAAATGGTGTTTGCATTGGAATTACAATAGTCGTAAATTTTATTATGTGTTCGACCCTGAGTCTTCGTTATTGCTTATGATCTTATAGATCTTAAAAAACCTGTATGCGACGAAGGTACCTAAACAGTGTATGTTATTGAATTATGCAATATTGTCCGTCACGCTGACCGCTAATACTACCGCTAATCATAGTGGGTAAATTGTGAAACGTTTTTTACTCATATGTAAACTCGCATTCGGGCTAGGTCAAGTGAAAAACAATAAACCGTAATACTTTTGCAACGCGTTTGCGAAATATTTCCATGTTTTCGTTTGGAAACCGATTAAAATAACTGTATTGTAACATGTTAATAATACTAAAATTATTAAGCGCTTTCTGAATCATTGTAATATTGATCCATTTTAAAACTAATAAACTCAACTTCACCTATAAATAATTAATTATTAATGGGAACCTTACACGGGGTCGTTGGAAGTTTTTAATTTGAATTGTAATATTACCTATTATTACATTTTGACACAAAATAAGAGTTAAAACACTAAGATTTAAATTGTTTGAATTTCGTGCTTTGGAAGACCATAGGTAAGCAAACCTATGATATTTAAAAATAAATTTATGATATCAAAGTTGAATAAGTGCTCTTACATGCGTAAAAAATAAAAAACAAAAACGGAAAGTTTTGTAGTATTTTCTTCTTTTTGTCTACCAGTCTGCAAGTAGTCATGAGGGGCTATTCTTCTCAGCCTAAAATAACTAAATACTAAACTAAAGCCTAAAAATTTAGCTAACATTTGTCCTAGTAAAAGTAAGCTAGGATTAATGTTAGCCATAGAGCTTCAAGCTTTTCGCTGAACCTTCGCAATGGCTCGCAATTCCGATCCCGTGGTAGATTCAGCGGAGCACTGTTCTTACCTACTAGGTCTGGTATTAGCTAGTCCTCCAAGGTTGAGTTCCGTGGATTCACCTATCAAACCTGGCGTAGTTGGAATATCACCTAAGGCTATAAACGATTAAGTAGGGAAAAAATATATTTTTTATGTTTGTGGCCTCGAATCATTTAACTACATGCGCGGTTCATTAAAATACTAATCGATTTTTAATTTTGTACGTACCAAATACGTTTTTTCAATTACACTTTTTTAACAAACACGTTAGGATTATGCTAACAAAGTATAGATAGATACATACATGTAACAAAATTTTTTGTAAAAGCACTCAAGTTGTCAATTTCTGTTACCCTCAATTTTATTATTGAATTACGCAGTTTACATTCTAATCCAATACATACACAGAGTCCGGTTTTTATTATTACAATTTCTTCTACTAGTTATCATAGTGTATCGTCGGTGCGAAATTGAATTACGTAAGTTACTTCACACAGTAGCTGAGTACAGTGGTCACGACAGCGGCTACGCTTCGTTGACCGCGCCACCAGTCGTTAGTTCCGCATCATCGCGGCGCGGCGGGAGGACGAGAGTGAATCACAACCACGCCCACCATCCCACGCTTACCTATCAATTGATTAAAGATTGCACTTATTACTTTAGTCTGGTGCTTAGGCATCAAAACTTTTTAGCATATTTGAAAGTAGGCAAGTGTGGAAAAATGAAATAGTCTCTCAACGTGGCTTCTTGCGTGCTCTCAAGAAGTACACGTGAAGCTTGGCAGCGGCTTAGCTCTGCCCCTGGCGTTGCTGAAGCCCATGTGCGACGGTAACCACTCACCGTCAGGTGGGCCGTATGCTCGTCTGCATACAAGGGCAATAAAAAAAAGCTTCAGTAAATACTACCTATTTTACATATAACAAAATAGGTATTTGTAGTAATTGAAGATTTTATAAACTCTACACTCGCGAGTGTTAAAATACTAGTAATACGGCTAGTACTAAGAGTATTAATATTTTTTTAAAAGAAAGATTCAGCTCAGTAGCTCAAAATAATATTTGTAGTAGAAAGATTGAATTTATACAAACAGCATTAACTTGTAAAATGTAGTTCATGTGAATACCGAATTATTATTTTTTAGTTTTACCTATCGCCAAATATGTTCACTTTTTGATTTTATAAATTGGATAAAGTTCTTATTTGTTTTTTTTCTTGTCTACAGATGATGAGGGGTGAGCGGGAGTAGTAGGGGGCCCGTCATGAATTCTGACGTGCATCGTCATCAGGCGCATCCGCCATTGGCACAGGTATCTAAGCCCTAATGTGTATTTTAGTTTTTATTTTTCCAGTAAAAAAAAAAAAACAAACTTATTTAGCACATGGGTCCGAAGATCGTAAGCGTAATAGTTTGTTCTGCTTTTAATCACAATAAACGGGTATATGAGCAATGCCTATTTTTCTTCTTTCGCTTTTCCATTTAAACTCCGAGTCCGTTGTGACAAAACATAAACAGGGCACTGTGGAGCGGGTAACTCTGTCTATGTGAGCTCGGCTACTCTAATACTACTAACACCTGTATCGTTGTCTATATAATCCTCACTTGTTTTATAAACATAAACACAGGATTCCAGTATACCTTTAGTACTGGTACGCTTTACATGTCCGCGCTGCTAAACAACATATCACTGCCTATATCTTCGGTCCAGCGGCAGTAATACGTTCCAATTAGGTGGGGCCAGCTGACATTGCTATTCTGTTGAGACTTCGACTTCTTGTCTTAAGGTGGGTGGCGTCATTCGCTTTGTGATGACTATGGACTCCAATAGCGGTTAATAACACCATCTGGGCCGGGAGCTCGTTCACTCATATATTCAATAAAAGTTTAGTTTTAAAGTAATATGTGCAAAGTTTTATGTTTATGTTACTTTTTTTTAGTTCTAATAAAAGCAGTACATACGTCCAAAATCTAAAATCTAAAAGATAAACAGTACATATTTTAATGTGTCATTCTGTCGTGGCGCTATTACGACTCAAGTATACTTTACAATTATGGTGATGTGTAACAAACAGAGGCACGTTTGTTGCACATTCCTTAACGATGTATCGACGGCAAGCTCTTGAGCAAAACCGTGCCGTTCTCGGCTGCGTGTAGGTGCGCCCACTCAGATGAGTATTCTTAAGTAAGTAATAAATGCAAGCTTCAATCAGCTCAAATGCCCAAGAGCCCAAGAGCCCAATGCCTCCTTAGAATTTATTCAAAACCTATCTGTATCACAATTACGTCAAGATGCTATTGTTCTATATAAGTTGTTCATAAATATTCATTCTCAATGTAATGGCAATGAATACTGTTTTTTTCAATTTTCCAAACAGAAAACGCATCGTCTGTTATTCGCGTAGTCTAATTTTATTTGGCAACCTCGTTAGTAAATAAACCGATAAAATGATACAAATCCGAAGAATCTGCGTAAACGCGTGGTCAAACGTACCTGTACCACACCAAATTTGGCTCTCAGCCAAGGTTGTGCGTTTCAATGGATCATTAACCGGCTTTGTGTAGAAATATTATCTTTTGTCTGAGCACAACCTATTTGCTACAAGTACGAGATTAGACATAATTGGTACATACAATTTATCGTTATCAATAAAGTGCTCTTAATAATCCTTGCCCTCAAAATGGTGCGCGGTCCCAATGGGCTGCTTTGTATAATAATACGTACACTGTTTGATATCAAAATTTGTGTTGATGACTCGTCTCTGCGTAGTGCAGTGATGCGGTCAATCAAGTCACGTTTTGACCTTATTTAGGAACATAATGTAACAACAAAATCAGAGCCCAAACAGATATGGGCTTAATAATGAAGCAAATGTTATAAAATAGTTTTAGGAATGCAAATAGTATATTATTTTTTTACATAAAAAAATAATTAAATACGAAACGATATTTATTTAAATAATCATTAAAATCTTGGAAAATAAATTTACGTTCTAAAAATTATGCAAAGATAATTTGAAATATCAAAACAAGATTAGACATTTTCCATTTAAAACTATGTTATTTTCATAGTCATTTCTAAAACTGTTTTTATCTGCCAATCGAAGTTTCTAGAGAGTTAAAAATCATGAAAATTAATTCTGACTAGGTTGTAACTAAAACAAAATGAAATCAAACAAATATTTTGCTCTAGCACGGAGTGCACGGTGCGGCGCAGGGCGTGGGCCCTTGTGGCTGGTATTCGGCTTCTGCCGCTCCTGCACCCACGGCCCCTGCTCGTCTTAAGCGCGTACAAGCACCTCATCAGCTACCGGTATGTTCAATATTATTTACTTATTCAAACAATACCATGACGCAATTAATGTGAATTACGGTAGGCAGCGGTTTGGCTCTACCCCTAGCATTGCTGAAACGTCTATGGGCGACGGTAACCACTCACCATCAGATGGACCGTATACCCGTCTGCCTACAAGAGCTATAAAAATATATAAGGAAAAATGTTTTTTTGTAAGAAATGCGATTCAAAAGAACATTTCTCATTCGATTAATCTGCAAACCCTTCTTTTCAACTTTGCCTATTTAATTTGTCTATTTAATTTTTTTTAGAATTTTTTAAATTACGTTTTCTCTACTGTTCAAAAAATAGTTTCCCTGCTAAAGCGGATATATTATTATATTATATCGTTGTTGGAATACATTAAATCGACTGTAAAATTAAATAAAAGCATAATTTACTTTTTTACGATTGCAAAATTCTTATCGTCTATAACTTGTTTATATAGAGAAATTAATTTATTTTCTGCCAAGGAATTCCTTTTCATGAGCCTCCGTAATACTATTATAATATGTAATGCATTGTATATTATCATAAAATTCCGATTCCCCCAGTAACTAGTAATAACGCAAAACAATGAAAATTTTTCCTCATTTGCGAACAACATACAGCAAATGCTTGGGTCATTTTTTTGTTATTTCACTATTTTCTGGAATTTATGCGTGCGAGTTTCGACTAATTTACCCGTAGTCTATAACATGCAACATTCGTGTCTCTTCTCGTTATTTATACACGCATTAACTGCTAATGCATGGGCGGTAAGGTCATTCCCATTATAGTTGACAATAACAAGAAGAGATCTCGTTCGCTGCTATGTCTACTTTAATTTAATTTATAAATTTAAAGCATACTTTTCATATTTTTGTGGAGACAAAGGCTTTGATTCCGAATTAGGCTTAATGACCTACAAATTTTTCCTTAGGAACTAGGTAATGTTATGAGACGACGGTTACTTCTTCCTCTTATCAAGAGCAAGCTTGGTAGGGCAAGTTCGGAGTCGACAGGGTTAGGTACCACCATACTTCATACTTCTACCGCGAAGCCGTATATATTGTAGATCTGGACGGTAGAGCAACTATAACAATACAATGAAGACTTTGACCTCAGATCTCGAGATAGGTGGGTGGTATACACGTTCTCGATGTGCATTTTCTGATATCATTGAGGACGCGCGCTCGTTCACACAAACTTACAACTTCAAACTTAAAAGTTCACCTAAACTTAAAAGTTAAATTAATAGGAAACCTTAAATAAACCAAAGGTAAACGTCTCCGAGTAACGGGACATAACTTTACAACAAACGTCTATTATTATAGACAATAATAATATCGGGAACTCTTAAGCTAAAAGTAAGTTAAGTAAGTTAAACTTAAAAGTCGTAATAAGGCCGTAATAGTAAATAGTGTTTGTTACTATAGGTATAATGCATATTCGATTAATATAAAGTTATATTTCGTTGTGTAATGATTGATTGAAAATTCTTTATTGTACAAAGGCGAACTTAAAGGCATGCAGGCATTCTCTTCCAGTTAACCCTCGTTGACGAATTGAAAGATTCAAAAAGTGCTTAGCTGTGATAAAGTTAATACATGATTTAAAGAATTATATGAGACAAAAATATTTAATAATTATAACTTTAATATAATATAAATAATATAAATATAAAACGATAATTTAATTATAACCTAGTGAGGTTATAATTAAATTACCAAAATAAATACTAATAGATAAGAAATACATATCAAATAAAATAAATTATATAAACCACAACATACTACAAAACAATCAAGCAATCTGTGTTTATATAATAAAGAGTGTATTTATTTTTAATAACTCCCATTCATTGTTGTAGTCTGGAGGGAACTTGAGCGGCAGTAATGGCCCGCACGCGCCTCTCTCCCCGTCCGCATTGCAGAATACTATACCGCACAATGTGAGTTCGTCTATTTAATTTTCTAAGCCTTTTTCCTACCTATGCTGATAGCCTTGAGAGGCTATTTCAGCTTCACTCTAACGTAGGTGGGTGAGCTCAGGGGGCTCGAACGGGAGTGTTGCTAACACTGACCCTGGCAAGAGCAGTGCTTCACAGAATCTACCACCGGATCGGAAACGCGACCCACTGAGAAGATCCGGCGAGAAACTCAGGGATTTCAAAGCCTAAGTTTTACTGTTCATGGGATTCTTAATTTTCAACTGTCGTATGATGACGCCGGGCTTCCAAAGGCGTTGAGAAATTCTCACTCGATTTTCGATGAATTTGTGATTTATATTTTATTGAATTTTGGGTTAACATCATTTTACGAGACTAATCATAAGCAACATCGTTGATGTCTCTCGCGATTAGAATCTTCAGTTATGTGAAATCTAATCGGAAACTACGTTCTATTATTTTTGATTAAAGCAAAATCAATTCTGGGAATTAATTACGAAACATTTTATGGGTATCAGTGAAATAGATTATACCGTTGTCCTTATACAAATGAGTGCTGTTTAATAAATGTAATGTACTTTTGACCTATATGATGAGCATAAGGGATCCTTCTGAGACATGAGACCACACCGTCTCTCTGAACCCTCGAGCTCACTGTCCATCAAGTCAATATAGTTGATATAATATAGATAACGAAATGAAAACGGATACGTGAATTGTAACCTTAGAATTACACCTGTAATTCAATAATATTTGCAGTGAATGTCAATCTATTATAATAATATAAATCACCGTGACTTGGAGAATAAGACGTCTAGTGTACAAGTATCGAGAGTTGCAATTATGCCGGAGTTCAAATCCCGTTGCCATGTACCAATTTTTCAAATACGAAATTATCACATTTTCACGAATCTTCGCGAATGGCTCACCACGCTGAAGGAATATTGTCGAGTAATAAAAATAATGAATGAGGCGAGGAAATGACCACATCTTGTCGTTCAGGGCAAAGTAGAAGACACCAGACCGCGTGGAAGGTTGCCCGTGCGATGTACCGACCAAGTCATTTTTTTTTATTGCATAGATGGGGTAGATGGCTATGGGCTCCGGTAACCACTTAACACCAGGTGGGCTGTGAGCTCGTCCACCCATCTCAGAAATAAATAAATAAATTGACGCATTTAAAAATAGCATCTATTTCAATACGAATAGAAGATTTTAATGGCCGTTTTCTATTTTAATTGATAGCTTATAATGTCATCGTCAGTCCGGACACCCGCTCCGGCCGCCACTGTACCGTCCGCCATGCACACCTCACAAACAGCACCAGGTATTACACATTAATTACGTCGAGCAATTGCTTGAAGCGACACTCCGCTTAATTACCTTAAAAACCGCGACATTTTCTTCTCAGTCTTTTCGCACTAAAAGTGTACAATTTCCAAAAATATTCGAAATTGAGTTAATATGCGGAATCATTTGGTATATTTCTCATAAAGTTTTATCACCAGTATTTTTCTCATAAATACTGTCAAAAGAGCTTAGTTTAGTTTTAGTTTTTTTTTTACTATAGCTTACCTATATTTTGACTACTATTAACAAAATTAATACATAATTTTATCTTACTTTAAAAGACAGATAATGTAACTGGAAAAGATAAAAAAGAAATGTTGCAAAGATGATTAATATTAAAAATATCACATATTAAACCTTTAAAACACTCTCCTGTAAAATTAGTACGTTTTGAGATTATACAGTTTTAATGCGAGAAGACGATTTATCTTTGTAATTAAAGCTGCGTTTTAATTGATATTAGGATCAACGGTTCGATGTTTTTAAATTGAACTCCAATTATGTTTACTCCATTGAAATAGCTGAAGAAGTTGTTTTGTTATGATACTATTACAAAATTTTATACTTTGTTTTTTACCCGTGTACAGTCGCAAAAATGTCGCTTAAACCAAATAGGCTTTCACCCGTCGACGTGAAACTCGGACATCGAGTTATATTATGTGATATTAAAGTATTATATATTAATATGGTAATGAGGGTTTAAATTAATTACCTAATGACAGAGCGCAGTAAAATTTTATTATGAATTTGGCTATGTTGCGGATGGGTACCATTTGTGATAGGTCAATAATGTTAAGTTAATATTAACATAGCGATAAATGTAATGCAATGGGAACTTCGAAATTCGAAAAAAAGACGAAAAAAGTGTCTGTGGTAATTAGTCTTTATGGTACACGTTTGTCAGTCAATATATACATATGTCACATTCAATTTATATGATTTATTAAGTAATGTAATCGTTCCCTTTGCCTAAAACGGCACTCGATGGTAACACAAATACTATTTTTTAAGCAAACGTTTGCCTACGTGATATGGTTGGATGATGAAAAGTAAATCTTGATGGTTGAGGCACAAGGTCGAATGTCCATCAAATCAACGTTTCAAATTATGTTTTGTTCTAGTAGACTGCGGCTCAATTATTAAGTTATTATTTAAAATTGATTATTTTGTTTTAAACAGCAGTCACGAAAGGACAGAGCGATGTCTTGGTAAACTCGTCGTCCGTACAGAACCCACCGCCGGCCGGCAACAGGCTGGTCAATATGACACAGTGGCCGTGAGTATACTCAACTTTGTGCACGTGATTTTAAGACTGTTTTTTGTATGATTTCATAGATGTTTTCATTGGAGGAAATTGGCAGATGACCTCACGGTGTTATTTGAGACAGTGGTTTCATTGTTGGATGAAGTGGACTTCGAGTCTCTTTGATGTTCATACATACATAGCGATAGACACCAAGCAGCTTGGCTCTGTCCCTGCCATTGCTGACGTCCGCGAGCAACGGTGCGCGACCACTCATCATCAGATGTGCCGTATGCTCGTTCTGCACGGGCAATTAAAACAAAACTTTATTATCTGTTACCAACGCACCACTTCTTATCGCGAGCAGAGTTAATCTCTACTAATTGCAGCCGCTTACATCGCGTACTCTAGCCCCAGTATTGCCTTAATGCTATGTCATAATGTTTTACCAGCGAACCTTAAAGAAAGAAAACACTAAATGTAATTAACATTGTTTATTGGATTGCCCGCAATGAACTGCAATTAGAAACCGTTGATACGAAACGATTGCCAGGGACGACAAGCAATGGAATGTCCACCAGAGCTACCTTTTCAATTGTTTCTGGAACATGCTAAAACAAAAACAAACTTAAATCTTAACTTAGAAAATCAATAAAATTTTCATTTCAAATTGAATTCATGTTAAAGTAGTTATATATATATATATATATTGCTGCCTTGCTTCGGGATCGATGCTCCTATACTCTTTATGTTATGCAAGATTTAAAAAGATAATTCAATTAATCACGGAATTCTTTTAGATTTGCAAAAACAAATATTCGGGGGAAAAAAAAAAACAAAACAAAACCGTTAACATTCAATTATCATCTGTCGACTTGATAATGCTATCACGATAACGTTTTTGTTATTAAATGAATTTAAATAAATTTTAAAATTATTTGAATAGAAACCGTAATGCTGTCGGCGAAGGTCGATTTTACAACTGACTCCCTTTGCAACTAATTGATAAGGATCTAACGTCACGTAAACTATCTCGTTGATAACGTTTCATTACATACGTTGGAAGCGAACGAAGCATGGAGAGCGACATTACGGAGTGTTATTATAAACCACACAAAATAAAACTGTGCATACCACCGGTTATCAACTATGAACCAACGGAGAATGAGTAAATTGTTTTGATGTTTTTTTTTTGAATTGGCTACATACATTTCTAATATTTTCATTGATTCATTCATTCATTCATTAATTCAATAGTTATCAGTTTTGTACTTGGATGTATATTCTCAGATGTAAATATAAAGTTTTGTATATATATTGCCTTCACGTTTTGGTAAATGTATACTCTTACCTTGTAAATAAACATAACACAAAAGGCTTTAATAACGAAAATTATTTTAATAAAAAAATGTTAATGACAAACAAAATATACTTTTCTTTGCATATTATATAATATGTCATAGGTTAGGTTAGTTTATAGTACATTACAATTTTTTTATTGCCCTTGTAGGCAGACGAGCATACGGCCCACCTGATGATGAGTGGTTACCGTCGCCCATGGACTTCAGCAATGCCAGGGGCAGAGCCAAGCCGCGGCCTACCGCTAACCTAGCGGTGCTAGGTGCAAGTGCTACCTAGCACTTGCGATTTCGTATTTTGTATACCATGCTCACATTTACCAAAACGACATGGTCATTGTGAATTCAATGTACATTTCCCTTCTTTGAAATTGTGAATAAATGCACATTTCCCAAACGAGGAGGAAAATGTGTACATTTGCCGCAATATCTACTTTGACCGTAATATATATAAAGTTTGAAATGAAGATGTTTTCGTTGTAGATGGCATCACGGCGCGATATCGAGGGAGCGAGCGGAGGCGTTGCTCTCCGGCTCTCCGGACGGCGTTTTCTTGGTGCGAGAGAGCACTAACTTCCCAGGAGACCACACGCTGTGCGTCCGATTCCGAGGAAGGGTGGAACACTATAGGTTAGAACTGTGATTCAAAATAGGGCGAGGACTTTTGGCGGGAACGCGAGGAGTGATGTGTGATTTGGTTTATTTTGTCTATGTAGTGTTTCTTCAGGTTTAAATGTGTAATAACGGTGGTTTATTAACTGTTGAATATCTATGAAAGTGCACAAATGTGGGAAAATGAAACAAAGCCGCTGGACGTAACTTCTCGGGATCCTCCAAAAAGTCCACTGAAAAAATCTCAGTAAACGACCACCATTTTACTGAGATTATATTTCATCCCATATCATATCATCTAATTTCATTTAATTCCATCCCAGTTTATTAATGTCTCCAATTGATCATCTTCATTTCATTTAATTTCACTGCATATTATCATTTTTAAATTAAAATTATATAAAATAAAATTATATATAAATTTATATATAAATAAAATTAAAAATTAAAATAAGACTTGACCTAAAGGTCTTAGTTACCAGATCATAAAATTCCTTTAAAAAATGGGGCGTTGGGGGTAGCCGTGTTTCGAACAGTTTGAAATTAAATAATAAATAAAGTATGTGAGTAAAATATGAATTGTGTGGATATTTGTGGACAAGTTTCGATTAACATTTCATCGTACGTGCTTAATCTTAAATTGCATACCTCAACTAGGCTGTTAGCTACACTCCTTGTGTAGTCGAATAAATAGGGCCGTTTATAGATTCATTGTAGAAATAAATTTGTATTTTCCTGTCGTGGATGAGCGTGGGTGAACTCATCGCTTGTCTGATGTTAATTGGTAACAGGAACTGGTACAATGAAATGAATACCGCGAGCCACTTTGAAACTGAAGTCGGTGTAGACAGGTAGCGTAGTTATAAACCCCTAGTCCAAGGGCGCTACCGGAGTCCATGGGCATCACATGATCATAACATCAATCCCACCCATCTCCAGTTCCACACGCTGGAAGTCTATTGTATTGTTTAATGGATCTTTCATCTATCCAACCGGAACACATTTTTTATTTATTTATTGCTTATATATGGATGGATGAGCTCACAGCCCACCTGGTGTTAAGTGGATACTGGAGCCCATGGACATCTACAACGTAAATGCGCCACCCACCTTGAGATATAAGTTCTAAGATCTCAATATAGTTACAACGGCTACCCCACCCTTCGAACCGATACGCATTACTGCTCCACGGCGGAAATAGGCGGGGTGGTGGTACCTACCCGTGCGGACTCCCAAGAGGTCCTACCACCAGTGATTACGCAAATTATAATTTTGCGGGTTTGATTTTTATTACACGATGTTATTCCTTCACCGTGAAAGTCAATCGTGAGCATTTGTTGAGTACGTATTTCATTAGAAAAATTGGTACCCGCCTGCGGGATTCGAACACCGGTGCTTCGCTACATACGAATGCACCGGACGTCTTATACTTTAGGCCACAGCGACTTCAAAACAGCTTCACGGCAAAGATAAGCAGGACGGTGATAATAATCCGCGCGGGCCGGTAGAACCAATTTACCTTTAATACGTTGTAGCATATTATATGTTGTTTTTCATGTTTCAGAGTAAAATGGGCGACAGCGCCCGACAACCAAAACCAACGTCTGACCATAGACGACGAAGAATTCTTCGATAACATGACGGACTTAATTCATGTGAGTGTTATATATAAAAACGTTATTTGTTGTGTTTTCAATTAATCAGATATGTCCAAACATACTTGTTCATCGATATGTATAGATACAATTTTGTTGGATTGTTGTTGTTAAAAGTAAGTTTTGCTTGACTCTTGACGATTGAAAGCCGCGAGATCGAAATTTCTAGTGAATATTTTTAGAGGATCGCAAGTGACTTGTCCAGTAGTAGAAATACGACCGTAATAGCTGATACCTTAAGATTCATTTTGTATCGAAAAAATTGTTCTTAACGTCATCACACTTATATCCCGTTGAAGATATTGAAGTTGGCCGGCTTTATTGTTTTGTATTTTTTGTTATTGCTTATATGGGTGGACGAGTTCACAGTCCACATGGTGTTAACATCTACATTCGTTTCGTTTCGAGGGCACTGTTAAAACTGAGACGCTAGAACACAAATCTCGCGTGAGTGGCGGCATTTACGTTGTAGATGTCTATGGGCTCCAGTAACCACTTAACACCAGATGGGCTGTGAGCTCGTCCACACATCAAAGCAATAAAATAAATATATAATAAAAATAAAGGTTCAGTAGTTATAACGGAACATCCGTAAAAACCGCTGTAGATTTATATATTAGTATAGATTTGACCGTGGCTCGTTGTATCGAGTCGTATGACCGGTACTGATGTATAATGGACGTTGTCGGCAGCACTACCTGCAAGACGCGGACGGGCTGTGCACAAAGCTGGTGCGGTGCCTCCCCAAGGCGACGGCGAACGGCACCAACAACAACGGCGCCCCCCAGCAGCAGTACCCGCCCCACCCGCAGGTACAGGCCACTCGCACGCCTACTTTTTTTTAAATCAACGCTAGGCAATCCTTTTTTTACGGATGCCCGGTCGTGAGGGACTACGGTTTATAAGTACTAGTGGTCCGGCAGTAGTCGAAATTCGACTATAATTAATTGAAATTTCAAACTTGTACACTCTGACAAAATGTTCAATAAATTTGTTAGAATTAATATAGTTGAGTTATAATTCCGTAGAATAACATTTTTCGTTGCAAGCATAGAATGCTAAACCACAATCGAGTATTGTTTTTTTTGACATAACAGACATGTAATGAAAACTAAGGTCTTTGAATGGCCTGAAAAGGGCATGGAAAATGAATTGAATTAATTTAAATAATTAGTTGATTTGTCTGCTTAGTTGCATGCTAGTGAATGGCCACAGGATCCGGGTTCGAGTCTCTGAAAAACTATTCGGTGTCACCAATACCGTCTTTACCATAAGGGCACACGGGGTCCGTGCCCAGGGCCCCCATTCTCAGGGGGCCCCTAAGGACCGACAATTTCTCTCACACATTTATTCTTAAAAAAATTTTGTCGGGCACATTACACTTTTTTCACAAATCAGTAATCTTATCAGAAGGTATTTGCAAGGCATATACTACGCCATTATATCGATGACTGCGCCTATTCCTACTGTACTAATTAATAATATTTCCGAACGTATCCTACCTAATTTACTAAGTACACCATCTAGCAATCGTAACCAAAAAACCAGCAGCATTCTAATATCCTTAATGACATATTATATCATACTATATTTGATTACCTATAATAAATGGTCATACTCAGTAAAAAAATGTTATTATAATTCGCTTTTTTTACTTTCCAAAAGGGCCTCAAATTCTTGTGGACCCAAGGGCCCCAGCCTAATTTAAGACGTCCCTGGGTGTCACGCTCTACTTATTGTCATCTCGCATGCCTCTTGTTTGCACTTTTAACCAGAATAGGGTCTAGAATTTAGACATAACTGAATATTAAACTTAATAACGCGGCGCTATCTTACTTTTCAAGTAATATTAAGTACTCTCTTAAGGTGTCAATAATACAATATGCATATTAACTTCGTTTCTGAGTCAGATAACAACCTGCGTTCTCACATCGCAATTACAAGTACACGTTTGTACGACGCTACACAATGGTCTACTGCTTGACAATAAGACATTAAATTCTATAAAATGTTATGTTTTCGTGTTCAATTGTAATTAAGTAATCACGTGGCGACAACACCTGAGGATGAATCACTGCGATTGCTTTCCATAAAAACATTTTTGTTTGCCACACCACAATAACAGTTTATTTTTATTTTTTTTGTTTTTAAATTTTGTATTAATACCAAACGTTTTTCATTGTTGTTTTGTGTTAAAGAATATAAATTACATTCATAATTTAATACCCTGTGAACGTTTGAAATTGTTTTTGATTGTCGTCCATCCATATAATTATTTTGTAAAGACGGTTGTACTATTGTTTGATAGATAACTTGTTTCTCAAAGATGATAAATATTACCGCTACTCATGAATGCTACGTGTACGAATGCCGACGTTTAACATTAACAATATCAATGATAGAGCACGATCATGGTGCTAATGTCTCAGATAGAGTAGAAATGTCATATTTTATTCGTTATATAACCGCTGTACAATGCTTATGATGAAATTCCGAACATTAGTTCAAAATTATGTTTCGAATCCCGACTTGGTCTGGAAGACAACGTTATGTGCAATCAAACTACCTATTGTGACACTCGTCAGCACAATGTATTGTTATACTATGGTCGTTACATAAGCGGTGTGAGATAACATAAAGAGTAGCTCCATCTGGTCTTAAATGAAGGTCACGAAAAGCGATCACCTTATACTTTTTATCACATATTATCTTCATTTTTCATATTTGACCTTCATGGCTACTATTAACTGGATTTATAGTAGTGCCATAAAATAACTTTTCAAACTATGAAATCTTATTTATATTATGAACGTTTGAGCTCCAATATATCAATTACATGTACAATGAAGACGTGAATACTATCGTTTGTATGTGTTGATTAAGTGTCGCCGCACACAAGCCAGCAGCCATAACCACAAAACGCAGTCACTGACCTATTTCCTGCTGTCTTCATACATTTTGCATGGACTCGCCAAACGCCACAAATCGCCACTGCTCGCCTCTAGTTGTCGGCTCGGCCACAAAACGCGCGACTCCCCACCCCTCTCTCTCTTCATTTCTTCGTCGCAGTCCATTATGATACTGCAAGCACGCGTTAAAAAAAGTCCGGTCATCGTCCCCGCCGAACCCGTCGCTTGCGACGAAGGGCTCGACGAGTAAATTAACCCATAGACACAGCCCACTGAGTTTCTCGCCGGTTCTTCTTAGTGGTTCGCGTTTTTCGCGTTCGCGAAAAAAAACTAGGACCACAAGTTTTTATTTATTTATTTTTTATTGCTTAGACGGGTGAACGAGCTCACAGCCCACCTGGTGTTAAGTGGTTCCTGGAGCCCATGGACATCTACAACGTAAATGCGCCACCCACCTTGAGATATAAGTTCTAAGGTCTCAAGTTTGGTTACAACGGCTGGCCCACCCTTAAAACCGAAACGTATTACTGTTTCACGGCAGAAAAAGTGGTTGTCGCGCGCTTCAGCTTTTGTAGCCGCTTCTAGCTTCAAGTGGCGGCGATTGTGGATGTGGCTAGTGACTCGTGTGCGTCACCCTAAGTGTGTTTCCATCTCGTAGCAGCCGCCGCCGTATCCGCCCACGCCGAGCGTGCCGAGCGCGCTGGCGGCGGGACACTTCCCGCACGCGTACGTCGCGCCGGCCGCCTCCACCGACCAGACGGACGGCACCTTGCAGTCGCAAAGCTTCGTTGACGCGCGTGAGTTGACATGACGAACTGGTCCCAACAACAAGGAGGAGACTAACGAACAGCAATTCATTTTTATATATACAACATGTAACATAATTAACGCACACCCTGAAAGTAATTTGTTCAGAATCGGAATCTGGATCGATTTTGATTGTTTTTTATGTACCAATTTTTTTTTCTAATATTTAGTTAAAACTAAGTAAATTACAGTCACCCTACACAGCTAGCTAAACAATTCATAGAAACGAAAATGGAACGTAAGTCAGGGTATTAAGACTTTTTAAAATGAAATATCTAATTAGTAAAAAAAAATTTTATTTAATTAAAGAAATCTGATACTTATTTCAAGGCTAATAGTCTATTACAAAATAAAATACCTACGCACACAATACCAACCGCCGGCACACAGCAACACTACAATACATAAAAGAAAACCACGTAATACAAAAATAATTACTATCCCTTTCTTTCGTCGGCATAATATTCTTACAATAAACGGCAGGCTAATCCCGATGTTCGCGGCGACGCGGTTGCGTCGGCGGTGATCAAAGAAAAATCTAAACAACGAAGTCAACAAAATATTTTTGACAAGTCAGTCACGCCGCGTCCACCTTATCGATAAGAGGTCAAGTGATAGTGCAAATAAAATATCTCCCGTATTTCGCTATGTCTTTTCGGTCAGTGACCTCCTAGATCAGCTGATTTGACGCCTCTCGACTTTTTTTTGTGGGGGCGAATTAAATCGCTAGTTTATAACACACAGACAATAAGTGCCGAAGAACTAAAGAATAAGATAATAACCGCCTTTGATAAAGTGAAAAGTGACATTGCAGTATTATCTAAAATAAAACAACAAATACGAAAACGGTCATTAAAGTGCATTGAACAAGCGGCGCGGCGAGTAGGTGTCTGTGTGTGCGTGCGCAGCGGAGTGTGAATCGGTGACCATTTTATTTCCACGAAATTGGAATAACTAATTTCACAAATAATCAATGTTAACGCGCATATAAATAATATTTGGTGTATGCATAGCGTTTATACTATTAAAGTCTAATTGGGGTGTTTGAGGGTGTGCGTTAAATATGTTACATGTTGTATAGATAGATAGATTATGCGAAACGTGAAGAATTACGTTCTAAGAAGTGTCAAAAGGGACTTCGTAATTGGAATAAAGTATAAGTGCAATTACATTGTGGTCGGTTATTTCACTCGCACATATGCTGTTGTGCGCTAAAGAGAGAGATAGTGAAACTAGCTGGACCGGCGTACCGGTTGTTGACCGATATTTTAATTTAAGCCCCTTATTGGTTTTCCACGTTATTGTAAATATTTTTGTTTATTATTTCCACCTTAAAAATCTGCTGGATTGTTTTTTGTTGGAGAATAATTATTGTAAAGGTTTAAATTTTCTTACAAGTCTACAAAATGGAGTACAATAATCATTATAACCGTATTAATTAGAAAGACAGTTTTCCTAATAATAATAAAATAATAAAAAATATATATATAAATTATGTAATTATTCATAAAAAATCAACAATTTTACAACAATGATCCTGATTTTCTTATGCCTTTCTGTAAATAACTAACACTTTCATTACAGGTTGGAAAATAGACGAGCGCGACCTTGAAATCCGTGAAAATATCGGCAAAGGAGAATTCGGCGACGTGATGCTAGGGATCCTGAACGGCACGCAGAAAGTGGCCGTCAAAATTCTCAAAGATCGGGAAGCCGCTAGTAAATTCCGCGCTGAAGCTAGTGTGATGGCGTAAGTAATATCGTCTTTATTTATTTACTTGAGACACCGTAAATATTCTGAAATGTTACAATCAAGAGTTAAGATCAGCAACTTCCCTAATGTTACAACAGCTAAACCAAAAGTTAATGACGTTGTCAATCGTGTGACAAGATGAACTTCTTAATTGTATGGATTAAATAACTTGTCCGATAGTTTGGAAACTGAGATTTCGAGATAAAAATACTCGTGCCACACTCGAATTGGCAACCAGAAAATTTTATATTCAAGATAGTTATAGTATGCGCGCGAGTTCATGTCCAGAGGTGACGCGCGGGGAACAGCTCGCCCCGCCTTCACCCACCTCCCTGCATTTGTCTGTCGTCGAGTGTTGTCCTTGACGGTTGTGATGCGCGCTTATCGATATCGAAAATTTACGCTAACGTTATTGTGTTATTTCATTGTGAGTAAACCATGACTATTCCGCTTCCAACAAGTTCAAGTAGAAAAAATATACTGATTCCGACTCTGATCTGTCGGTTGTCTTTTCACCTGATAAGTGATTGAATTGGAATAAAAAATATATTTTTCTCTATTAGAAATATATAAGTAATTACATAACACATTTATTTTATTAGATAATTTGCAAAATCACCTTAAGTTACATTAAACCAAATTGACAGCTGTTGACTAAATCGGTAGTTATTATCGACATTACCATAATTAACTAGGTCACAGCACTACCACATTCCTTAGGATGGACATGAATTCGCGCGCCTACTGTATCTGTGAACGAATAATTGAGGAAATGGAGCGATATCTTCTGAGAAGCTGAAAAGAATAAAAGAAAGAATATTACGTAATAGATAGTGAGAATTAATTGTGTTTTGTATTTGTAACGCAGATCGTTGAAGCACGAGAACCTGGTCCGTCTGCTGGGGCTGGTGTTCACGAGCAGCGGCGGCACGTGCCTGGTGACGGAACACTGCGCGCAGGGCTCGCTGCTCGACTACCTGCGCAGCCGCGGCCGCCACTACGTCACGCAGCTCAACCAGATCAACTTCGCGTTGTGAGTACCGACCCACGATTCTGATATCTGCTATATAAAGAAACGAATCGGCTTTTTGACGGGGAACGCGAGGAGTGAAGTTGTGTGATTTGTTTTATTTTGTCTATTTAGTGTTTCTTCAGGTTTAAAGTGTTTAATAACGGTGGTTATTAACTATTTAATATCTGTGAAAGTGCACAAATGTGGGAAAATGAAACAAAGCCGCTGGATGTAACTTCTCGGGATCCTCCAAAAAGTTCACAGCTAATTAATGTCTCAAATTAATCATCTTCATTTCATGTCATTTCACTCCATAATATCATTTTTCATTAAAATAAGAATATAAATTAAAATAAGACATGACTTAAAGGTCTTAGTTACCAGGTCGTAAAATCCCTTAAAAAAAAACGAATCGAAAATGACGTCTATGTACCTGCACCGACAGATGGTAGGGTCAACAAATAAAGAGAAAGTTAGAAAGAAAAAGTTGTTTAATTACTTACTTTACTTTACTTTGTGCCCTGGCAGAGGAGGAGTTGTCTCATCTGGCATGCAACTTGCGTAGACACTTTTACTGCCATTAATCTTAGTCGCACAACTCGAAAGTGAAAAAACTGGAACTTAACAACAAAGTCAGAACAACAACGTCAGAACTGATATTTTTTTTGCATGCAGTACGCGCCGTGTGCGACTAAAGACAGCAATAGTTTAGAGTGAGATCGCATGATCGCCGCTGCCATTTTTGATTCGTTTCTTTATTGGCGCGGCTTATAGCAGCAATACTTGAGATAGTAACTAGAAATATACGAAGTCTTATACTTCGACTTATTAAGTCGTCATGGCCTAAAGCATAAAACGTCCAGTGCATTCGTATCTANTGGACTGACTGACGCCATTACTTTATTCTAGGAATAGCTCCGTTATTCCGTGCGAAACGGCGGTATAGTAACAATTCCCGAATAGGCCCACTATTCTTAGAATTGTAGATGGTAAAACGTAAAATTGATTTACTCTCGATTAACTGACGAGTTATTCTAAGAATAAGATTTACTCTTGTTTGGTCGAATCGACCCTTAGTCATCTAAGTCGCACAACTCGAAAGTGAAAAACTCGAACTCAACAACAAAGTCAGAACTCATATTTTTTTTGCATGCAGTACGCGCTGTGTGCGACTAAAGACAGCAATAGTTTAGAGTGAGATCGCATGATCGCCGCCGCCATTTTTTATTCGTTTCTTTATTGGCGCGGCTTATACCGGCAATACTCGAGATAGCAACTAGAAGCTTACGATGTCGTGTACTTCGATGTATTAAGGCTTCGTTAAACAGAACGCGTACTTAGTGCGCGTCAGAGCGCTAAACCAACGCCGCGCTATGACGCCGAGATGTGTTGTACTACTATGGTAACACCGTCACACGCTATAATTATAGCGCTGGCGCTCTGTGTGACGGTATGTTACCATAGTAGTACGACACATCTCAGCGTCATAGCGTAGCGCTCTGACGCGCGCTAATTACGCGTTCTGTTTGACAAAGGCTTTAAGTTGTCGTGGCCTAAATCATTCGTTCAATCAGACGTTCGGTGCATTCGTATCTAGCGATGCACCGGTGTTCGAATCCCGCAGGTGGGTACCATTTTTTCTAATGAAATACGTACTTAACAAATGTTCACGATTGACTTCCACGGTGAGGGAATAACATCGTGTAATAAAAATCAAACCTGTAAAAACTATGATTTGGGTAATTACTGGTGGTAGGACTTCTTGTAAGTCCGCCCGGGTAGGTACCACCGCCCTGCCTATTTCTGCTATGAAGCAGTAATGCGTTTCAGTTTGAAAGGTGGGGCAGCCGTTGTAACTATACTAAGACCTTAGAAGTCATATCTCAAGGCGGTTAGCGGCATTTACGTTGTAGATGTCTATGGGCTCCGGTGACCACTTAACACCAGGTGGGCCGTGAGCTCGTCAACCACCACCACCATCTATGAAAAAAAAAATTAGGATATTGAATATGTAAGATGGGTTTTTTTTTTCTTACAATTTTAAAATACATCCAATCGGAAATTAAGTTATAGTTAATAGTGACATACAGTGACTACTAACACCTGGTGGGTCACGGATTCCTTTTGCCATCTGTGCAATAAAAATGGTTTACTGAGATACCAGATTACCAGTCAATCGTATAAGCGATTTTTCGAACTGTTTACATAAACTACATTCTAAATATGGTATTGAATTTGGTTACAGTGACGCGTGCTGTGGGATGGAGTATTTAGAAAGGCAACGTGTCGTACACCGCGACCTGGCGGCGAGAAATGTGCTCATCTCGGCGGAAGGCACCGCCAAGGTATGTTTTAAAACTATATTTACACTTTATCTGTTCTAATATAAAATAGTCCAGAAGTGTGTACATTTAATCTGTTTTTAAATCTTTGTAAGGTAAAGAGAATATTTTCTCATTAAGTGGTTTTTAATCCACTAAATGCCTATAGTGCTCCAATATTTTGGTCATATAGCAAGAAAACTCTCTGACAACCTGGAGAGACTCATAGTGACGGGTAAAGTGGATGAAAGACGATCAAGAGTTCAGAGCCGAAAAATATGGAGTGACCAAGTATCTGAGTGTCTGGACATGAGACTGAGCCAAGCACTTCACTGTGCCACTAACCGACAAAAGTGGCTACAAATTACAAAAAAAAGTCACAGGCCGGCGCATCACGATGCTCAGCAATGAGCGATCGACTGAAGGAGGAGGAGGAGGAGGAGGAGAAATCTCGACCTGAAGACAACATTTTTAGACACGTCTTTAAACAAATATTATTCTGAAAAAAATCACAGCTAAAATGTATTCTTCTGCATTTTTTCCATACATGTAATATTTGATTGTATAACAGGTGGCGGACTTCGGTCTGGCGCGAGCTGGTGCGGCGCTGGAGGATCCGGCGGAGGCGGCTCGGCTACAGGCCAAGTTGCCCATTAAATGGACAGCACCGGAGGCACTTAAATATAACGTCAGTATATAATTACAATTTTTATTAACTAATGATACCCAGTCACGCTCGGTTGTGACTATCGCTTGACTATTGTCTGACAGAAACCTCTAGAATGTCAATAATATCTGTACCGAGCTTCATCAGAATCAGATGAATGGTTTACTTTTTACACTTTTTTGAGAATCTAATAGTTAGTGTGAATATTTAATATTTTCTCAACTATTTGCTAGTTCCTTCTCTCCCTTCAGTAATATTAGTATCTCAATTTTTTTCGTACCTAAACCCACCTATCTTGAATGACTCATGCGTCACCCGTCCTGTCTAACATCTGTGCGTCTCAGCCCCACAGTATAAACCATGCCACTCTGCATAGTCTCTGAATTTATACAGAGAACTCAAGCAAACAATAAATCCACAAATTAGCGATTCTTCTTTTTTTATTGTTAAGTTGTATAGAAAGTGTCTGGTAAAAGGAAGAGAGGCCGCCCCAGAACAACTTGGCGTCGCTCGGTGGAGCAGGAGCTAGGGGTCTTGGGCATGACGTGGGAGGAACTAGAACAGACTGCCCAAGACCGATACAAATGGAAAAATTTGATTCGAGCCCTACACCCCAGCAGAGGGTAATAGGAAAGCATGATGATGATGATGAAGTTGTATAGACAAGCGTATCGCTCACCTGGTGTTGAGTAGTTACCGGAGCCCATTGACATCAAACGTGACGTAAATTTAGCCACCCGTGCGGGCTCACAAAACGTCCTGCCGCTATTAATTACGCAAATACGACGTTTATTACGTGATGTTTTATTAATTACCGTGGAAGACTTTCGTGAACATTTGTTATGTACGTATTTCATTAGACAAATTGGCTCCTGCCTGCGGGATTCGAACACCGGCAGAGTCGCATCGCTTGATACGAATGCGCTGGGAGTCTTATTCTTTAGGCCACGATTACTTCCAAAACACAAAAGTCAATAAAAATGTACTTTTGTTGCAGAAATTCTCGAACAAGTCGGATATGTGGAGTTTTGGAATTTTATTATGGGAAATTTACTCGTTTGGAAGAGTACCTTATCCTAGAATTGTAAGTTATTACTTTATTTTAAGGTAATGGTGTACAATTACCCTACGTGTTTATTAAATGATGTCTTTCTTCAAGCGAGCTTTATAAATACTAGGCGGTAGGCAGCGGCTTGAGGGTTCGCCTAATATTGCTGATGTCCACGAGCCACGCTCAGGATAAACCACCAGGATGACTCATGCTTTCAAAATAATAATAAAGTATTTGTACAGATCACTCTCAATTCAACTGATCAATAAGCTGACGCACACATCTATAAAGTTTAATTTATTTTATGCTCTATTGCTCACGATGAGAGTTTTGTCTGATTAACGTCAGTCGATATATAAATACTTTTCTTAATATCGATGGATGACTGTGCTTCATAACCTAGTGCGTCAGCTGAGTGGCCTAACTGGTGTAAAGTAGTTAAAGAACCCACATACATTAAAATGTAAAAGTCGCCACCCATATTAAGATAGCATGATATCGAAATCTCAATTGTCTCAAAAGTAGTGGAATTTGTAGAAATCAATTAAAGTCGACAGTCAAATAAAAACAATTCAGCCTTAATACAATTTTATTTTTATTTTATTACATATTTACATATTACTAGCCTATTTCTGCCGTGAAGCAGTAATGCGTTTCGGTTTGAAGGGTAGGGCAGCCGTCGTAACTATACTTGAGACCTTAGAACTTATGTCTCAAGATGGGTAGCGCATTTACGTTGTAGATGTCTATGGGCTCCAGTAACTACTTAACACCAGGTGGGCTGTGAGCTCGTCCGCCCATCTAAGCAATAAAAAAAAAAAAAAATGTTGTTTCGCATAAATATATTTTTTCATGATAGTTAAATCTTTGTTGTGATCTTTTTTTTCAAAAAGATTGTAAAATCAGATAGAATACTTTGTGTGTTGTGCAGCCGCTGGCGGAGGTGGTGCGGCACGTGGAGCGCGGGTACCGCATGGAGGCGCCGGAGGGGTGTCCGCCCGGGCCCTACGAGCTCATGCGCGCCGCCTGGCACGCCGACCCCGCCTCGCGACCCACCTTCCTGCACATGCGCCGCAACCTCGCCGACATACGCGACCACACGCCCGCGCAGGTACGCCCTAGCCTCCCCTACCGATGACTTGCGGCGATGTGCTGGGAAAGATTGTATGCGGAAGGAAGAGGATCGTTTATTGTGCCGGACTATGGGAGAGGCCTACATCCAGCAGTGGAGAGATACAGGCTGATGATAATGATTCGCTGGTAGCCTAACAGGGTATTCCAGCTACGTCCAGACGTGTAGGGGAACTCAGGAGTTCAACCTGAGAGCTTACTAACAGTAGCCCTAGCAATAGTGCTTAGCAGAATCTACCACAGGGTCGGAATCACGGCCCACTGAGAAGATTCGGCGAGAAACTCAGTGGGCTGTGTCTATGGGTTAGTTCGCTTGTCAAACTCATCATAGTAATCGACGAGTTCGACGAGAACGATGACTGGTGCTTGAGAGGCCTAAAAACACCGAGAGTGATTTTTTTTTATTGCTTTTGTAGACAGGCGAGCGTACGGCCCACCTGATGGTAAGTGATCACCGTCGCTCATGGACGTCAGCAATGCCGGGGGCAAAGCCAAGCCGCTGCCTACCAAATATTATTATATATTATTTTATTATATGGAATCCGGGGATCCGATAAGACATGTTTTGGACGACGTCGGCTTTTCGTTGCCCCGTCGCGGTCGGATAAGGGGTACGCCCTACACTTCCCTAGATCATTCGTGACATCATCCAAGTTTTTTTTTCTTAGATGTGTGGACGAGCTCACAGCCCACCTGATGTTAAGTGGTTACTGGAGCCCATAAACATCTACAACGTAAATGCGCCACCCACCTTGAGATATAAGTTCTCTAAGGTCTCAAGATAGTTACAACGGCTGCACCGCCTTTCAAACCGAAACGCATTACTGCTTCACGGCTGAAATAGGCGGGGCGGTGGTACCTACGCGTGCGGACTCACAGGAGGTTCTACTACCAGTGCACCGGCTCCTGCTGGCGACACTGCGCGGAGTAGAACAGTATTTTGTGTACTATTATATTTTACTTCAATAAAATTGTTGGTATAGTAACCGGCAAACTTCTTGAGCAAATGACCTTGACTGCGCAGAACCGAATTTTAGATCACTTTGGTGGTGAGGGTGAAGCGCGACGGCAGGGGAAATCGTATCGAGCGCGTTATTGGTAGATCAGTCGAACCTTGCGTCCCGCACCGCGCCCTCGTTCCGCTTGCTCCCAAAAGTACGCTTGCGTACAGTGAAAAGTCTATCGTTATTAATTGTTAAGTTATTTGTTATAATTGCTTGTTGACTTTGTTGCCATTGCTATTTGTTGATTTTTTATAAAAAATACACTATGCCGCGACAAACTGGTATAGTATTCAAAAGAAAGGGTAGAAAAATTGTGTACGACGTATATTGCTTCATTATAAAACAGGGGAAGAATGATATGGAAAAAGTAAAACAGACTTCGGAAGCAACAAAAACATCCGTGAGTACTGTTAGGTGCATTATTAACGAAGCTAAAGGCTCTGGCTTGCTCGCCGTGTTTCGGACTCCGGGTAAGAAAAGATCAGGGAAGAAGAAAGTTACCGGAATGGATAGTTTCGTTCAATCTGTAATAAAAAGATGTAATCATAATAACTACATAACAAGCAGCGAAACTCCGTACCGTAGAAAGGCTTCGAAAAATTTAAAGAAGATATAAATTTTAATGGCTCGGAATGAAGCTTACGACGAATTATGAAAGAGCTAGGCTTCAGATGGAAAAAAAGAACAGAAAATAATCGGAAGCTGGTAATTGAAAAAACTTGCATTCGATTACTACGAATCGAATAACTTCAAAAAATAATTAATTATAGACAAAAAAGTAGACCGAACCGACCGAGTTGTAAACTACACCGATGATCCCTATGTCGACTCATCACGATGATAGCAACTCGGGTGATAAAAACAGTGATGATGATAGTCAAGATTATGATAACGAAAAAAAAATTACAAATACCTGCTTCGCTTCAACTGAACCAAGACCTGGCAACAGCTCTAGTTTTGACTTAATAGAAGGAATATCTATTTTACCCCAAGATAAAATTTTTAATCTATATTTTTTGTTGATGTTCTCATAAATATATAAATAAATACATATGTTGATTTTAATAATTTAATTGCATTATGACGGAGAGTAAGTAATGTTTTTGCACGTGAGTGTACCATGCGCAAACTTACCCCCACTACGTCGACAAATGCTCAAGAAGTTTGCCGGCTATTATAGCTGTTGTCTACAGCTTCACTCTCCTGACCAAATATTATCACTTTAAAAAAAATGCGTCATTTCATTGCTTTCAACGCGAAAGAAGGACAAGTTAACACATTCACATTTATTTTATTAGTCGGTGAATATAGATTTTAATATGAAGTTTCGATTATAATCTACGTTAAAATAAACTACAATGTGAGTTAGTGCAGTGAAGCTTACTTCAATTGAAGAATTTCTAAATGAAATTGCTAATAGTGGATGTTCGTGTTTGTATAAGCACTGCCTTAATATTGGTTGGAATCTACCATCTGAAACAGAAATGTGTAGTTAACTGTAAATGTGGGTAGTAATTGCATTTAATAGTATTTGATTCTTTTATACTATTTTAATGATAACTTTTGGAATGATTTCTAAATTTAAAAAGACTTAAGTTTGGTTCAAGAAATTTTGGTTTAAGCTCTTAATTACATTTGACAGAGGTAAATGTAATGTATTTAAGAACATTTAAAGTATACATTACCCGGAGTACTAGCGCAAAGCGGTCCTACCCAGTTCCCATCGATGCACTTAATTTTGCAGATTAATCTTTCATTTAATGGACCAATCAAACCAGGAAATTTAACCTGTAAAGTGCATAGCACAAAATATATCTCATTTGATATTTCTATTTATACATACTTTTAAAAACTTGAATAGATAATGTATATATACTTAATAAGATTCCAGCCTTTATGAAATAAGTTTAACAAAGTTTAAATAAATTTAAGAAACAACATTTAAGGTTTTTCTAAATTTATAATCCTAGTTGGTTTTTTATATTCATTCATTTCTACATTAGACAAAATCTAATGAGTCAGCTTCAATTAAAACTTTAAACTTATATATTATGTTTAAAATTATCTCTTATAATCATAACATTACAGTCAACTGTAACCAACAGGCTAAGCATTTCAACACTCAAATTTTTTGTTGGATCCACAAGTTAAAATATTGCTATTATTTTATTGTTTTCCTTTCATTTTTGTATTAAATTGTAATACAAAAATGTAAAAAATAGTAATGATATTGTAAAAGATATTCCATTTCCTAAACTGGATTACGGAGGTAATATTTTACTACAATGATTTAGTCATTTTTAAATAAAACATACCTCAGATATTTTAGAGAAGTCCGCACGAATCCTATTTATATCAACTTTTTGATTAGGACTGGTTACATCAGGTAGGGAGCACTTAAAATCTTCTGAAAAAGTAATATTTTTTGTTGAACATAGATATAAAACATTTCAAGCTGTACATACAGTGCCTGCGGTTTTATACTTTTGACATTTTATTACTACTAATTTTTGTGATCTGAGTGATTATATGGTACCTAAGAGGTACTTTCAACAGTTACGGTGATGGTGTTTTATGTTTTGTATTGACTTTATGAATCCTCTTAGTCAGAATGCTTATCAAGATCTTTAATGTAAAATATAATGAAACAGCAATCTTTTTTGTTTGCATAAAGCAGCTTGTCTGATCATAATTTTTGTTTGCATAAAATTGGTAAACCTCAACCCATTAAATACTTTACACTTGAGTATTTTTTCTTTGTGGACTAATAAGCAACTTAAAAAGTTTTTAGAGACAAGAAATTTATTAAATACAAAACTATTTAATGATTTTTTTGTCTCTAACTTAAAACGATTACACACATATCATAAAAACTTTTTTTTAATATTTCTTTATTTGTTCTGTATATTATTTCATAATATTATACTTTCAGATTTTCCTTTGTGATGCATATTTTTGTGACACATATTTCAATTGCTGAGATGCATGCCTGGCTTATCAGGAAATGTATTACAATATTATTATTAAATCATTTGATGTCTTTTGCTGCGATTATTTCTTTGACAGCAGATTTTGCAACCCATTCTAACTCCTATCAAAATATTATGCAGCTTTTCACTTGAGCTTTTGAGAAAAAGCCACCTCTTGAGTGTAAAGGATTAATTTTCAGTACCAACAAGGAATTGAATTCTGTAGTGTTACCATTCTAAACAGATAACACTAAAAACCATGCCCCAACAAACACTTTATAGTAGTGGGGTAAAGTTATTGAGTGATATTAATTTATACTAAGATATGACTATGAAAAATAGTACTCTGAATTGTGAGTGCTTACCTATTCAGAGGTATTTATTTTTTAATTAGACTACATTTAGCAACTAATTATTTTTTTACAATCATTTAATAGTACTGTTTGTGACATGTTTTGTTTAACAAATATTTAATCAATAAATCTTGGGCCCTCAAATTGGAAATTATTGCCACTATGCACCCCTTCACACACCCCATAGGTCAAACTGGTAGTAGATTTTGCAAAGCACCACTACTACTAGATGCCATTGTTAAGTTGGCAAGGTTAAGTTGTTGGGGGTCACCCAAATAGAGGCATGACATTCCGTCCACACATAGATAGTCCTCAACCAAGCCACATTCTTACATGGTTGTCTCTACTCCATGATCTGCAAGCTAAGTTAATTACCCCTTCACAATAAGGTATCCATGTAACCTCTCTTACCAACCAATCCCGTTTCTACAGGATAACTGTCAGAGTACTGTAGTATGTGAGGAATGAAGATCTTCATGATGATTTCCAAGTAGGTAGTATATGATGACAGTATCGGAACGCTTCTACGAAAAGGCGGCGCAACACGATAACTCTCTTATGTCGCACCTCTGACTGCATATCCGACCCAGGCGAAGGGGAAACGCTGCCACCATCGCCCTAAGCATGGGACTATCGGACCCTATCGATTCTTTTGTTTTTGGGCTCTACAACCTCCGTTCTTCGTTCTTGTCGAACTCTTCGAATTTGTTATCAAGTTCTCTTCAGTTGAAAGCCTGAGATCACCTACCCGTCGGCGGGTAATTGAAATAGCCCTTTAGGCAATGGACGATTAGGTAGGGAAAAAAGGAAAGTAAAGCAGTTTCATTTACCTTCTGAAAAATCATCAATACCAGTGTCCTCACTGACCACGAAGGGAATAAATATTAGCAACAAGAGCTGCATGATGGTATTTATTGATTGATTATTTATTAGTTTTTTTTACTTTTACTAATCGCTTAAACGATCACTTATGAGCAGCGATATTATTAAGTAATATAGTCAGTTTAGTTAGGTATGTACATACATACTGTATAGCTAATTGTAGGTATTTTCATTTTCATTTTACACTGGGAATAGTTTAATTTGAGGTATTTTACCGTTTTTCTTTTAGACTTTTAAAGTTAAATATTGTCGTCTTTTTTTAAGGGATTTCATGACCTGGTAACTGAGACCTTTAAGTCATGTCTTATATTAATTTATATTCATATTTTTATGAAAAATGATATTGTGGAGGGAAATGAAATGAAGATGATTAATTTGAGACATTAATCAACTGGGATGAAATTAAATGAGATGATACGGGATGAAATATATTATAATCTCAGTAAAATGGTGGTCAAATGACCAAAAAGTCCTTGTCGTATTATCTACACTTTGTAGACCATAGATGATACCACACACTCACTTTTTGGCGGGAACGCGAGCAGTGAAGTTGTGTGATTTGTCTTATTTTGTCAATTTAGTGTTTCTTCAGATTTAAACGTGTAATAACGGTGGTTTATTAATTGTTTAATATGTGTGAGAGTGCACAAATGTGGGAAAATGAAACAAAGCCGCTGGATGTAGCTTCTCGGGATCCTCCAAAAAGTCTACTGAAAAATCTCAGTAACTGACCACCATTTTACTGAGATTATATTTCACCCCTATTCATCTCATTTCATTTAATTTCATCCCAGTTGATTAATATCTCAAATTAATCATATTCACTTCATTTAATTTTATTTCCCTTCATATTATTATCAATCAATACATATCATCATCAATCAATACATATAAAATCGTAACTGGTCGCTGTCTGCACATGGAAGATAGCTCAGAAAAACTATTATAGGGGGCTTTATGAACGCAATAGAACCCAAAACAATGATTTTTAGAATTTTTGTCTGTTTATCTATTTGTCTGTGCGTTTGTGCACACTAATCTCAGAAACAGAACTGCCGATTTAAATGTGGTTTTCACTAATTTATTGTGGTAAACTTTACTTAACATTAAGTGTTTGTTTCATGTCAACCGGTTCATAAATAAAAAGTTATGCCAATTTAAAGAATCACGTAGCTGGGCGTTTGTAGATTGTTTACGTCTGTGCAGCCGCGCGGATATACAAAGCGTGCCGACTAGCCGGTGGGTTTTTCGTACTCACTTTGCGGAGCTGGTCCCCCGATTAATAAGGACGGCCGGTTCTTTGAGCCGACTGCTCCCGAATATCGGAGGGCTGGATCAGGTTCTACGCCGCCTCTACGCGGGGGTGGTGCGATCGATGGCTCTATACGGTGCGCGTGTATGGGCTGAGCCGCGCAATCGGGCTGCTATGGCTCGGCTCCTGCCCCGGCTGCAGCGCACCGTTGCTATCAGGGTCATCCGTGGACATCGCACCGTCTCCTTCAAAGCGGCGTGTGTTGGCGGGCGATGCTGCCGTAGGAGCTGAAGGCGGAGTCGCTCGCTGCTGACTGTCGGTGGCGCAGCGAGCTTCGTGCTCTGGGAGTGGCACGTCTTTCTAATAGTGAGTTGCGGGCGCGGAAGGCCCATTCTCAGCGGTCCGTGCTCGAATTTTGGTTGAGGCGGTTGGCCAACTCCACGTGGGGTCTACGGACCGTCGAGGCGGTTTACCCGGTTTTTGATGACTGGGTAAATCGTGGCCGAGGACGACTCACCTTCTGTCTGGTGCAGGTGCTGACTGGGCACGAATGCTTCGGGAAGTACCTGCACTAGATAGGAGCTGAGCCGCCGACGAGGTGCCACCATTGTGGACACGACCTGGACACGGCGGAGCATACGCTCACTGTCTGCCTCGCTTGGGAGATGCAGCGCCGTATCCTTGTCACAAAGATAGGACCGGACTTGTCGCTGCCTGGCGTCGTGGTGTCGATGCTTGGCAGCGACGTGTCTTGGAAGGCTATGCTTGACTTCTGCGAGTGTACCATCTCGCAGAAGTAGGCGGCGGGGCGGGTGAGGCAAAGCTCTCCTCACTACGCAGAAATCCGCCGCCGCCGAGCAGGGGATCAGGACCGGGGTCCCGTCCGTAATCCGGCCCCCGAAGAGCTTCAGGCACCACCCGTTTTGTGCGGGGAGGAACCTAGGCATGGAGCGGCGTGGTTATCCGCATTCCCCCGACCGCTCCGGCGGAAGGTGTAGCTCGGCGCCATCAATACGGGCTCTTGGCCTGTCGACCGAGGGAACGGTTCGGCGTCTGGGGGACGGCGGGATGGGTGTAATATGCTCTACGTAAACCCTGTGCCGCCGTTTCAATAGCTCCGACTGTGTTCCCACCCGGTTCGGGGTAGAGCCCCGGCTGTGAGCGGCAGGAGTTTAGTGAGGTTCGACTCCCACATACGCACGTGCGGGTGGGGATCCAGCGATTTTCTCCTGTGGAAAAAAAAACCTCTCCTAGTGCAGCAGAAATGCTAAAAGGATGAGATTAGTTCGATCAGAAGAAGGTAGGTTTTTTTTTTCGGGTAGGGGGCCGAACCTCCTACGGGGACCCCGCGCATAAGGGGCGCGCGGAGTACGTGAGACTCAAAGATCTGCATGGTGTTGTGAGCAGACCGCGGGCCCAAGGATTTTAGGGCCCACCCACTAAACGACTCCCCTGCACTCTTATACCCGTCGTCCGATCCCCTCCGAGGTCAGAACCCGGTTGAGGTAGGGGGGTTACTGCGGTCAATCTGAAGAAGGTCCTGAGGTCTAAGACTCACTACATCTCAGAAACGTCAGGCGAGGTTTCGTGTTACAGAAACTTCGGCTCAGCGAGAATCTCGATTGAGTTCACATTGTTCTCAAATAATGGTCACTCGAATTAGGGTGAACAAGGAACAGCGTGACGCACGTTTGTCCATCGATCGTGAATCTTATACACTATCGCGTGAGTCTGAGACTTCCACTGATAGGGAATCCCGCCTGAGCTCCTCAGAGGGATTGGATAGCAAATGCCCGGTCTCAAGAGGCACTTGCAGAATGAGAAGCACGTCACACTGCCGATCGCGAAGCGAATGTAGTATCGCGTGAGTCTGAGACTTCCACCGATAGGGAATCCCGCCTGAGCTCCTCAGAGGGTTTGGATAGCAAATGCCCAGTCTCAGAAGACACTTGAAGAACGAGAAACACATCTCACTGCCGATCGCGAGGCTCATTTACTATCACTTGAGTCTGAGACCTTTACTGATAGGGAAATCCGTCTAAGCTCTCAGAGGGTTTGGATAGCAAATGCTCGGTCTCAGGAGACACTTGAAGAACGAGAAGCACGACTCACTACCGATCGCGTTTCCAGTGAGCCTATGCTTTGTGATGATAATAAATAAATCCAAGGTCAGGCGCTAAAAGTTGTGGGTGTAGATCTAAGTGTTAACTGCTTTTCACACAGTCAACTCGGTCACACGGTTATGTTTCTCTGTCACATGTTAACAATCCCAGCAACCTGTATGCTTTGATCCCCGATGGCTATACGTCTAATGTCGTGTATAGAGAAGCATTACTTTATATTAGATTTTTCTAAATACCCAAATGAAGGTGTTTATAAACTAAAAGATATCCTAAAACCGCTGCCCAAAGTCGCTATTGCACGCGGACGGAGTCGCGGGCACAGCTAGTTTTTCATAAAAATAAGAATATAACCTTATATAAGGTATGACTTAAAGGTCATAGTTACCAGGTCATAAAAACTCAAAAAAAAATCGTTTGTGTACATACTACATCAACTACATAGCACATTGTTGTGGAGCACCTAACATGATAATACACAAGTGCTGTTATCTTCTAAACAATTAACTGAACGATAAATTTCGTATATCTATGTAATTATTATAATTCCATTACATTTAGTGAGTGTAAATAAAAATCGACAAAATGAAATATTCAATGAAAGTTTCATGGACATTATTTATTTTTATGTGTACTTGTTTTGCTGAGAAAAAGTTTCAAAATAAACTTCCAACTGTCGGTATTTCAGTTTTAGTTCGTAACAAAGCGCATATTTTGCCTTATTTCTTCAGCAGCTTATATAATTTAGATTATCCGAAAGATCGAATTTACTTATGGTACGTACAAAATATATTTGTTAATAGATTACTTAAAAAGAATAAAAATAATGTAATATGACCTCATAAATTTATCAGTTCCTGTTTATGAAATGAGGGTATCTCGGAGTATTGTAATCAACTTAAAATCGGAACTTGCTTGAATTATACTACTTCCGCAAATTATGAATTAAAGTTAATCTAGGTATATTTCTCTTAATATTGCATTGTGTCGATAAGCTTGTTGTTTTTAAGAATCTTTCATTTACATGGAATACCGATTGCACATGTTCATTAAAATTATATTTTAGTACAGTTTGTTGACCAATTTAGCCTCAGTCTGAATATGATGAAATTTTTAAGAACTCTTCAGATTGGCTTAGAGCATAATCCTGTGAAGCTTAGTACCACTTTTATCGAAATCAAATATCGACCAGCAAAGCAGGCGGGTATTATTGGTTTTCATCAAAATCTAGGAACATGAAATTAAATATGGACTATTGAAGTCATATTTATTTATTTATTCTATTCTTATAGCCTGGAGTTCGAGTTCGTCTACTCTTCTATTTTTTAAAGATTTGGCCATTGTTTAATTTGGCGTCAATTTAAAGAATTAAGTACTTTATTTTTGTAAGGATTTTTTTTCACTGAGCCTGCATATTTTCAGGATTCACAGTGATTTCAATGAAGACAAAAGCATAGAAATTATAAACAAATGGGTAGAGAATTATGGGTCTGAATACAATGGCATGTATGTTACGACGAATACCAGTTCTGGACCCCTACATAGCGATGAGTCAAGTTCAACTAATTGGAGTCCGAATCACTTTAGACATGTGATAAACATGAGAGAAGCAGCTCTAGACTTTGGGCGAAAACTGTGGGCTGACTATATATTTGTAAGTTTTTAAATAGAAGTATAATATGCTAAACATGGTATTTCTATTCTGCACACATATTTGAAAATGATATTAAAAGGTCAAAAAACTTTATTTAGCAGCAACCATTTTAAAACTTTTAAAAAGTATTCTTTGTCATATATAAAGAAAATATATTTGAAGATGTTTTGGTGGAATAGTAAACTTGGCAATTTAGTTCTAGGCTTATTATAGTTGTAAGCATATAAATAAATAATAGTAGGGTGAATTAATAGCTCTTAATAGTTTTTTTTTTTTAAATATGATGTTTATGAGTCTATAAAGATAAAGTTTACAGAAAGTACCTTGGTAACATCTTCATGTTAGACATAATGCTACTTCGACTAATTACTTATCCAAACCATGCGTCCATCCAACATATTTTGTCAGTTTCGATCCTCGTTGCTTTTAGGCCCGTCAAGAATCGATCACCATGCTCGTTAAACTCGTAGATTACAACTAACTCATAGACACACAGCCCACTGACTTTCTCCCTGGATCTTCCCAGTTGATGGCGATTCTGATTAAGTGATAAATTCTGAGAAGCACTGCTCGCAACGGCTAGTATTAGCAAATTCTCTCAGGTTGAGCCCGTGAGCTCAGCCCGTGAGCCCTGGAATAGCCCCTTAGGCTACCAGCGAATAGATAGGGAAAAAATGTTAGCATGTTTCTGTATTTAAATATAGTTATGTGTTTTATTTGTTCATACTAAAATGAGTATCATTACTTTTTGTTCTAACAATAAGTATATTGAAACAGTTTCATTGCTGTTTGCAAAATTGCCTGTATTATAATATTTTTTTTTTTTTTAATGAGGTTAATGTTCTGACATTACATATTTATTTCAGATGTTAGATGCTGACGTAATTCTTACAAATATTGAGACTTTGAAAGTCTTAATCGCAAAAGATTTCACTGTTGTTTCTCCAATGCTTATGTCCGATGGAGTGTATTCTAATTTTTGGTTAGAATCAATATTGTGCTAACGCACATTTAAGCATGAATATTGCAATCAGGTGTTTCAAACTATGCTCAAAATTATGAATTAAATATTGCCGCATGTGAAAAACTTACAAAAGAATGCCATTTTTAATCACAAATTCACTTGCGAACTTAATATATAAGTATGTGCATAAATTATTAATAAACATTTCATTATGTAGAATTTATTTACACAAAGTTCATTTTAGATTAACCTAAATCATACTTATCAAAAAAGATAATATAGCCCAAATGAGTAATTGATATAGTTTTATATTAACATATTAATATCGTCAAAAAGGCAATAAAGTAATTGCACTTCATGAATAAAAAATGAACTACAACCAAATCTAAAACAAAAAACAAAAACTTGGAACTATAACATCGCAAGAAATAACAGTACTAAACAGTAATTCTTCTGTCTGACAAATTTTAAAGTTGAATCATTATTAAATGTACTAACAAATTATTTAAAATCAAATACTTGAATTATTGCTTTTGTCTTTTAAGTTTTTGGCATCAAAACATTAAATTAATTACTCAATAGCTTATGGTATAAAAGCTAATAAAAGCATTTAGGAAACCTTGCGTGTTTTTGACACTGCATTCCTTAAAATATTTTCAGGTGTGGGATGACAGAAAACTATTACTACAAAAGAACAGATGACTATAAGCCAATATTAAATAGAAAGAAAACTGGCTGCTTTGATGTTCCTATGGTTCATAGTGCTGTATTGATATCAATGAGATATGATGTTTCTGACAAGTTGACATATTATCCTAGTAAGATCACTAACTATGATGGCCCTGAGGATGACATTATTGCCTTTGCTCTGAACTCAAAGGCACTTGGTGAGCATGTCATTTTCCAATGTAATCGGTACCTTTGCAGCCAAATTAAAAATAGATCTTAATTAAGATATGTTTATCAACAGGCATACCGTTGTATATTTGTAATGAAGCCATTTATGGTTTTGTTCCCGTTCCCTTGGAAGATAATGATCCTCTGGAGAAGGATTATGAACAAATGCTCAATATAAAACTGGAAGCAATTAGCCAAGGTACACCTTTACCATTAAACCATATGTTGGAAGAATATGTAACACATCCAAACAAATGGAAGTTTGGTTGTGATGAAATATATATGATTAATTTAGAGAGAAGGCAAGAGAGACGGTTTCTTATGGAGCTCAGTTTCAAAGAACTTGGAATGTCAGTGCAGCATTTCAGTGCAATTGATGGTCGGTAAGTAAAGAGTTTTTGTATTTGATAGTACTAAACAATAGCATTGTGATTTCGTTTATCCTGTGCTGTATATAAATGCGTAATCTCTGCATTCATAGTAAATAGGGAAACAATACTGGTTTGAAACTGTATGGTACTTGTATTAGTGAATCCTCGATATGCCTAACTCATACATATTCTAATTGCCATTAGTACTGATGTTATTTCCGCACTATGTGTCTTTTAAAGACGCTTGACACTACTACGACCTACTGTATTGTTATGATCTTATTAAACCAACTTATATAGGGTTTTGTAACATTAAGTAATATAGCTTGGAATGATTATTTATACATGGTTCTTCATCATCATCGACCATACCACAGTCGTTCATTGCTGGATATAAGCCTCTTCTCTCAATTTACGATTTAGATTATTGCAAACTTAATAAAGATCAACACGGACATTAGAAACCTAGTACAAATTTGATCTAATTATTTAAACAACAAATACCTATTTAAATTAGTAATTTTGTTTACAGAAATTTAGACATGAATGATCTAAGAGAGTACTCTATTACATTAATGCCAAATTATGAAGACCCATATCATAAAAGGTCAGTAATTCTATATTTAATTGATAATTAAAATTTAATCCCGGTTGTCTCAAATAAATGCAATGTATTTTTTAAATATTGCAGACCAATGAAAGCCGGTGAAGTCGGTTGCTTCTTGAGTCACTATTATATTTGGCAAGATGTGAGTATAAAATTTATTTAGCTCTGATTCAATCGATAGACGTTTAAAAAAATAAAGTTGAAACTGATAGAATAGAATCCATCTATCAATAAAAATTCAATTTAAATAGTTTAGCTAGAAATCGTTCCAATGTAAAAGCGATAGTACTATTGTTTATCAAGATTAACGGCAAACACCAGTTATTTCTTTTTTTTTATTGCCCTTGTAAGCAGACGAGCATTCGGACCACCTGATGGCGAGTGGTTACTGTTGTCCATGGACGTCAGCAATGCCAGAAGTAGAGCTAAGGCGCTGCCTTCCCAAGCTAAGCACTATTTAGTACCTATTTATTGTTTTGTGACGACAGTTGAAGGATACCAATACGCTCGTCCCTTGCGCAATATTGTAATTGTGCTTGTAACGTGATTTGCAATAGTGTTGTGTTTAGATCAAAAACAAAAACAAAAAAAAATTTATTTACCAGAAATATAATTTGTGATCAGGACTTACAAGATAGTTGTATTCGTATTCTCTTTCGATTCATCATACCTGATGCAACTTCGAGTCTCACATAACTTTGCCATTTTCAGATTGTAAAAAATCATCATCGAGTTGCGTTATTGCTAGAAGACGATATACATTTTGTACCGTACTTTAGGCATCGATTCATTCAATTGATGGACGAGATCAGTGAATTGGACTGGGACCTTGTGTACGTAGTGAACATCTGATGAAAAGTTATATGATTAAATGAAATAATTCAACTTCTGAATATATATTATGTATAATGTATTATTTTATTCACCACAAAAAAAAAGTTTCGTTTGTTTTTGTGTTCCCACTAAAATCCTAAAGTATTATTTACTAATAACACGCGGAATACATTTGGGGTTGATTTAAATCTAATATATAAAATTCTCGTGTCACAATGTTCGTTCCCATACTCCTCCGAAACCGCTTGACCGATTCTCATGAAATTTTTTATGCATATTCAGTAAGCCTGAGAATCGGCTACTATCTATTTTTTCTCATACCCCTAAGTGATTAGGGTCGTCCACCCCTATCATATTTTTTTTTATTTGGACATATTTTTTTTGTTATAATGAGGTATTATGTGGTTGAATGAGGTTTTGTTATTTTTATTATATATTCCCTCATCGTTCACAGCACTACATACCTCTTTCACTCATTTACCACATCCTTACACACTTACAATAAGTTAGTTTTTTTTTCTACACTAGAAATTCCCTACAAATCTTATATATGGCAGAACAATGTTTGCCGGGTCAGCTAGTTTATTTAAAAGAAAATCTCAAAATAAGAATAGCCAAAAAAAAATCTAAATTATTTCATTGTGTCAAATATCGTAAAGCAAGAAATGAAAAGAATTCAAGAATGAAATCTAGTTTGAAAAAAATCCACGAGCTTCACCACTCTCTTGTAATTTTCCATTTACATAACGGTGTTAGTTTGTACTCGGAAATCCATGTATTGTGAGCACAATCCTTATCGGCTCTATTATATATAATATATAACATGTTTTATTTCAGGTACATAGGACGCAAGATCCTTCTAGATGGTGAGGAGGAGTACGCGACTCCTCATACCACGAGACCTCTGTATTCTTACTGGACCCTCGGTTATTTGATCAGCGAAAGAGGCGCTAAGAAACTCTTAAGGGCAGATCCGTTATCGAAAATGCTGCCTGTTGATGAGTTTCTACCTATCATGTTCGATCAGCATCCTAAGTAAGTTTTAGTTTGATTTTACGTTGATCATTTCGAGGGGTGGAAAGACTAATTATTTGGTTTAAGCGATATTTTTACAACTTTACAGAAGAGCCATTTAAAGTTTGAAATTTCGAAAAAATGTCATATTAAAAAAAAAAACTTCATCAGCTATTTGAATGCAGTAAACTTAATTGAAATTCAATCATCGAACTGTTGATGCTAATCTACCTATATCTATACTAATATAGAAATCTACAGTGGTTTTTACGGATGTTCCGTTAAAACTACTGAACCATGCATCCGATTGGCTTGAAACTTGGTATTCATGTAGAAAATACATGTACTTAATGGATAGGCTAATATTTATATGAGTGTTGGACTCCCTACACCAGTTGCGGGGCATTAATGATGAGAATCTTTGTGGGGGTGAGAAATAATAATGTTAATTTTAAATGCCCCGCGTAGCGGACGGGTACAGCTAGTACCTAATAAAACGGACTTTACATAGATAAATGTCGCGTATTAAGCGAAATATCGCTTAAACCAAATACCATTTCACTCCTCGATATGAAATATATCTACCTAATTCTATTTAGGTAATCAGGCATATACACTGCAGCATGTTTGGTATTCCCAGCACAGGTACACTGAGCCGAAATTTTAAAATCAGTTAAATTAGAATTTTGTTCATTACGTCCTCCAAATGGCAACGTACGATTGCTTCATCGCAACAATAAGAAAGATTGATCCCATTCTCATTCAATTCTCAAGACCGGAGTAAGAGGCAAGATCGGAGTCGCATAGGCTTATAGCAATACATACATACAATTGTTAAATCTCTTACTCATAAGTAAATATCCATCTTCTCTGTGCAAGCAAACGATCATTTGATTGTAATAAAACTCAGTATTGTTATATTATGCTCGCACTTCTAGTAAGCTTCGTTCATTGTAGCGACGGTGAACAGGTCGTATTTTATTTGCCTTTCAAATTAGATGAGCAAACAGTCGACCTAATCGCGAGAGTTTATCTATCGGACATCCGTGTGCTTAGTGCGAGTTTTTTAACGTTCGCGATAGCGTAAAAGTTAGCTCATATTTGTTGGAATGGGATCGTTGTGTACGTTTGCCGTTAGAGGCGCTGTTCCAACTGCATACAAAATTGACTTAACTTTTACGCTATCGAGAACGTTAAGAAACTCGCACTAAGCACACTGCAATGCCAAAGCCCTGAAACCGTGTTCTAAATAAAATACGTATCCGCCACGTATTCACGAGCGACTCCCACGATGACATGAAGGAATGTGACCATAAAAATCGAATACGCAAAACTTATGAGTTACTCGGCAGTGGTACCATAGTACCAGGCCCCTAGTGTATTTATAGTAGGCTTGCAACTGGCAGGTATCGCGACCCAGTCTGTTTCTGCCGCGAAAGGTAGTAACAGACGTTGTACCATACAATTGAGACTGCGACGTCATGACTTGAGGTCTAGCCGGTGTGGTGGAGCTCGATGGGGCTTAGTCAGAAACCCTCCTCGTCTCCATCTTCCTCTCCGGAGGCGCCGGAGTTCGATATAACCCGGTCTGTTCCGAACCCCTCGACCGAGTATTCGTAAATGGATTACCCACCGTAAAAAAAAGGTCTGTGGTGGTATTTGAGTCATGAAGTCTATGGGGCCCAACGTTCGGCGCTAGTTGGCCCTTGTAATCGTTCACCAACATGACAAACGATCTCCCGGAACACATTGTTGATTAACGCAGCCGTTCGAAGAACTTCAATGGCGCGAATCGTGGTACTAAATAAAATAAAAAATCCAGTAACCACTGCAGTATAATTTAGATATAGCACAGATTAGCATACTAGATTACTGGTGGTAGGACCTCTTGTGAGTCCGCACTTGTGAGTCAGTACCACCACCCTGCCTATTTCTGCCGTGAAGCAGTAATGCGTTTCGGTTTGAAGGGTGGGGCAGCCGTTGTAACTATACCTGAGACCTTAGAACTTATATCTCAAGGTGGGTGGAGCATTTACATTGTGGATGTCTATGGGCTCCGGTACCCACGTAACACCAGGTGGGCTGTGAGCTCGTCTACCCATCTAAGCAATAAATTATATTTAGCATAGAATACCGATTTATAATTTACCTCTGTTACAGTGAAGAATGGAAGTCGCATTTCGAAAATCGTGATTTAATCGCACTTTCGGCGGCGCCATTACTTGTCCACCCCACGCATTATACGGGCCAGCCGGGATACATCAGTGATACAGAAGATTCAGACATAGTTGACCCGGATTTCGTGCATCTCCAATCAAAAAATGAGCTCTAACTCGGCGGTTTCAGTAAGAAAAATAACAGTGCATTTAATAGTTTGTAGGTAGCTAGTAAACTAGAGAAAATGTTACTATTGAAATTTAACGAATTAATGAATAGTAATAATATTTTATGTAAATACCTTTAAATCAGGAATTTCCAAAGTATTTTGGTCAAGAGATCCTTTTTTCAACATGAACTGATAACATTGACCATTATAAGCCAAAAAACTTTACTTTAAAAGTTTTATAATTTATATGCATATTTTTAAAAATCTTATCTCCTGCTTTATTCCTGTTGATACAACTTATCAATTTAAAAAACAAAGCTTTTGATTAAGTTATCGTGTGCGTTAATGGTCCATAACGACCCCTTTGCGAATTCCTACTCTAAATAATTGGTAAATTAGTATTAAATGCTGTATACCCATAAATAGCTTACAGCGTTTTTGTTTCGTTAAAATCGTGTGTGGACCCTTAAATTGCTTTGTTAATATAACACTTTATATCTGTTCGGAGCTATGTAACATAATTAATAATTAATTGAGATATAAATTTGCTTCATTAGTTATGTTTTTATCAGCGAATTACCAACTGTACCTATTTTAATTTGTGTAAAATTAGTAGTTACTATATTATATTTCATCGTAATAAATAATAATTATTGTATACAATGAAGATTTGTTCTTGTATCAATTGGGGCCAACGTTCTAAAATAGTTATTTAGTTCTTAAGAGATGTTTAATATATTACTATAAAGATTGCCATATTACTATTAAGTTAACGAATGTTTTATATTTGGTGAATAATTAATAAAATATTAATAATATACGTGAATTGATTTATGAAAAATTAAAATAAATATATATATAAATGCGTAATGTAACAAAGGATGTCAATCTCGTGATCCCAAGAAGAATAAAACTGATTACTTTTAGCGAAGTAAAATCGACCTTGTGCCTCTGAAGAATAGATTTAAAATATCATCATTTCAATAATAAATTTGTAACATCTGTTATTAAGATTCGCGAATATCTTCTCGTTCATTACAAGCCGTGTAATCGAACGGCCGAGGGACATCCACATTTGGCTGACACGCAACATACCTCGCATAACTTTACGAGTCATCCGAGCCATATTATATATTTAGGATACAATATAAATTATTATTAACGCAATTCAGATGTCTGTTTTGATATACCGTTGAGTAAGTGATTGTATTGCCCGTATTGATTTGATTATTATTTTTGGAGCTTGTTTTCAAAGCGATGTTTAGTATATTAGTTTGAATTCAAGACCGATTTTTGATAATCGATTCAAAATAAATGCTAATTTGTTTATTGATAATTCGAGTAATTTTTACAAACAGTTTAAACTAATAACAGCTAAACTCTTTTTAACCAATAATAAAATTGTTACTTAAGAAGCAAAGCATAATTAGTATACTAATATGAATTTATGAATATATTTTGAAGAATAAATGGTTTATGCCTTTGTATGACGCAGTTTGTTTTGTAAAGTATTCTCATGCTTTTCCCAACATTCATTTCCAAAATCCACTTTAATATTAAAGTAAAATGAACCACTTACCTATTTAAGTAGATATAAATTAAACTAATCAAAACTAGCTACCTAACGAACTAACTAGTGAAACAGTTAAACTAATAAAACAATTAAAAACGTTTACAGTTGTTACCTAAAGAAGTTGTTTCCCTGACTTATTGTTAACCTCTAGTGTTTGGACTTAATTTGTGATGAAAGTTTAAATTACGAAAATTGGAAAGACCCAGTACTTTCATCTCAATTCTTGGTTAAAGAGACTTATAGTTTTCGTTTTTTTTTCTACCTAAGCTGATGGTCGAAACTTTAGACCATCAGCTTAGGTTAGCTTAGCTCTTTAGACTCTAAAGAGACCATATCAGCGTAATCTTAACTAGTAGGTGAGCTCACGAGACTCAAACCTGACGATGTTGCTGACATTCGTAGGCAGCGGCTTGGCTCTGCCCCTGGTATTGCTGAAGTCCATGGGCGACGGTAACCACTCACCATCAGGTGGGCCGTATGCTCGTCAGCCTATAAGGGCAATAAAAAAAAGCATGAACCCTAGCAAGAGCGGTGCTTCGCAGAATCTACCACCGGATCGGAAACGCGACCCACTGAGAAGATCCGGCGAGAAACTGGGCTGCGTCTGTGGGTTAATATACTCGCCGAGGCCTTGGTCGCAAGCGACGGATTCGACGTAAACAATGGCCGGTGCTTGGGGTACCTAATAGCACCGTTAGTGGATCGGGAGGATCCGAAATGACGTGTTTTGGACGACGTCGACAAGTTTTCGTGTTTTCTAGCTACGATGAATATTTAAAGATGCAATAAAACCACTCTTTGAGTTTAAAACAGTTTTGTATTCAAGAAAATGATAATGGCCATATAAACTTCAAATTTTACATGTGTACATCAAAACAGTTTTATTAAATAATAATTACAGTTTTGCGTCAGCCAATAACTGAAATATGAATTCGAGAATGGTTCTTGTTGGACGACCGGTCATGCCGCGGCGAAGATATGGGAAATCGCGTCCTTTGGAGTAGGCGATATTGTAAGTATCCAAATGCACCCATTTAGTATCGCAAATGAACTGTTTTAAAAAAGCTGCACAATTTGGTGAATCGCCGAACTCATCCCTGCCCGTATTCGCAACATCGGCCGTATGGCAGTCTCTTACTCGATCTTCGTAAAATTTCCATAATGGCATTCGCCAAATCCTATCACCGGTCTGACTACTCGCTGATTGAAGGTAGCAAAACAATTCATCGCTATTGGTGTAACAACCGCAAGCACTTCCGTCTAGAGTATAAATTAGTTCTTTTGACATCGTACCTATATCTATAATAAGTTTTGGCCAGTAGTTGCGTGCATATACCAAACTGTCTGCTATGAGAAGTCGACCCTCACGAGACGGTAACCTTATGTGTAAAGATTTTCCATTAGCGCTATATGCCACGTCACCAAATTTGGGACTGTTTCCATTTGGCATTAATTCGCATAATGGAAGAATGCCTCGAATATTGATCGGTAGTTTAAGTCTAGCCGCAGTTCTGGTTATGGCTAATATGCATCCAGCACCCGCCATGTCTCCTTTCATATAACGAAGGTCTTTTGGAGATTTGAGATCTAAACTGCCACTATCAAAAGTTACGCCTTTACCAATTAGCACAATTGGTCGAGTTTTCTCACCTGCTCCGTAATAACTGATCTCAACGTAGAGCGGTGGTTGAATCGATGATTTACCTATAGCTACAAATCCTCCCATCTCATGACTGGCCGCCCATCCTTGTGTCTTAACTTCTACATTTATATCTAATTCACATAGGAGTTCAACGGCAATTTTTGCAAAGGATGTAGGGTTCAGCATATTTGCGGGCATTTCTTGAAGATACCTTGCTAAATTTTGAGCTTCAGCCTTCATTTGACCTATATGCCAACCATCTATATCACAATCGTCGTGAAGATAAATTTGGGATTTAGGGAGAATTTTCTTTCCCAACGTACTTTTATATTCTTCAAATTGCCAATTTGCTAAATATGCACCTTCCGCTGCGGCTTCTGCATTTCCAAAGGATTCTAAATGTATAGCTTTAGGATTCAGTGGTTGAAGAGATATTGCACCCACACCAGCAGCGATTCGGATAGCTTCTTTGTTTTCGTCCAATTGTTCACTAACATTGTAAGTTAAACATTCTGACCCAAGACCAGATACAGCTACGAATGCAAATGTTGGATCTAAGTCGAAAAATATTCTTGATTCTCCCAATTTCGGGATGGGTGATAATTTTAACATTTTCCAAAGTTTACCACCGGATTCTCTATCATACTTTTGTGCACTTGCAGTAAGAATGGCAGGTTCACCTTTGGCGTTTTCATTATAATAAACTCCCAAGACAAGACCTTTGTCTTTATGACCACAAAGTTTCGGATCCTTTATTTTGCGCGGCGTTCCGTATGGCACACAGTCAGTACGTTGTATTTTAAATTGAGAAATATATCGAACATGTTTCAAAACTAGACTTTTGCGAAAAAAACAATATTCTAACATTTTTAATTTTGAAAAATAATACTGAAACAATCTAAGGTGTATGCATGACCTACCAGACAAACTCATTTTATTTTTAATATCAATAATTAGTACGTATTACGACAACGAAACATAAAAGTTTAGATTCAATAAATATTTCACATATCACACATCATACAAATAATAATAAATACATTTTAATAGTAATAGCATAATTTGTCTTTTGGAAAGGGTCAGGAAGTCTTCTTATTCAGCCAGTTGGGTGTGTAATGTTTATACCAAGGTGGAATATTCTTGATAATTGTTTCTTGTAACTGACGATATACTATAAGTATTACAAAGGGGATAGCTAACCTTTCATCTTTAAATAAATAAACCCAAAAAGCCAATATTAAAAGGCACATATCAACGGTGTAGTCGATTATTGATCTCACTTTCTTTTTAGCCTTAGTTTCTAATTCTTGATAGTTGATTGGAATAACGATAGTGGCCCGTTCAGTTTTCTTAAGAACAGTTTGAATTTGCGGTATGCTCTTTTTCTGTGTTTGGTTGTGTTTGTCTGAAAATGGCGGCGCCTCTAGTTTGCTTTTATTTCGATCCACTGTGATGTTATTAGAACTTTGCTTTCTTTGTTTGATGTTTTTATCCACACGATTTTGTGGTTTATTTTGAATTATTGTTTTTGGCATATTGCTTTGGCTGCTTGTATTTGTTTCAGTAATTCCATCATTTTGCGTCTTCGTCCTTTCAATATTTTGTTTTTCGGCTACTTCCTTCAAATCTTCAGTGTTAAGGTAAATTGGTGTTGATTTTTTATGGGTTCCGTATTCCTTAACAATGTTACCGTAATAGTCAATGACCGTGCGACCTTCGTCATTTATTTTGTCAAGATTCTTTTCATTTGTACTAATTATTTTTTCGATTTCGGGTTCAGAAGTGTTTTGTTTTTTGTTCATTGAATTTTTACTCAAAATCTTGGGGAAATTGAAAGGTTTTTGTACGGGCATTTTAGTAATTTTTTTGAATAATGTTAGCTTTTCTTGTCTTTTAGCTTCTGTTTTTGGTGCTGATACAAAAGATTTAGGAGGCATCAAATTCTGAGCCGGTGATTGTTCAGGAATTTCTCTCCTTTTCAGAATAGGCTTTGGTACAAAATTTGGGTCAGGAAGTGGTTTAAGTGTTTGGCTTTCCGAAAATTCGTCTTTTTCTACGATAGTGTCTTTTGTAGAAACCGGGTGAGCTACTTTTCCTCGGGGATTGTATGTTTCTTCTTCATTTAAGTACTGAGTCCTGTCAATATCTCCGTTAAAGCTACCTTCGTCCGAATATTCGCCATCAGTTGAAACAGTACTAGCAGTATAATCTTCATCAAATGAAATTTGTTGCCATTTTCCATCTGAAGCCATCGACTCACGAGATAACTGCCGCGTGTCATTACTATAGACATTATTGTCTACAAACTCGCTTTCAATCAATATCTCTGGCCCTTTAATTTTCTCAACAGTTTTTGCTGTTGTTTCTCGACTACAGCTGTTTTTAGTTTGTTCATTAAGCGGAATGTTATTTACAGTTGTACTTGTTTTACTTTGTTTGTCTTTAGTCTGTTTCTCTTTCATTTCAATGGCTTTATAAAATCGAGCCATTGCACGTTCGTGAAGTAGTTGTGTAGTACTTACGGCATTACGAAGAGTCTTAAATGGTACAATACATCTAGAGCTCAAATCAGGTGCCGAAAGTGACAGTGGAGGCGGTGATAAAGAATCCAAGTCCAGTTGGAAAGACTCCCGTTTAGACCGCGCATCTGAAATATGAAAATTAAATATGTATTTAAAAGACGAATGTTGTTTTTGTTTTATACATTTGTAATTTGTTTTATGTAAGCATCCGAATTTCGCCAGTAGCTAGTGCAGAGAAAACAATCAATAAACATCCATGGAATGAACGTGTATAAACATAGAAACGAATGTAAAACACGTTATGTTTACCGTTTTCTATTCATTTCTGGACTCGACTTAGTTACGTTTAGTTTAATTGATTGTTTCATAAATAAACACTAAAATTCGCTGCTGCTCTGGTTTTTGTTAAACAAACTTCGCTCGTGCTTTAATCTGATCAACAACTGCCGTTATTGTTTCTGGTATTATTGGCGCGTGCTGTTTTGCTTAATACCGGGCTCTAGCCGACCTTATTATTAGTTCAAATACTCGTGCAAGTAAACGTCTTTTAACTATTATTAGATTTTTTAATTGTAGCTGTAATTAATAGTATTGTAGCTGTAATACAGTGCGCATAAAGCGAACCAGAAGAACATAATACTTGTTTCACAGTTAACTAATAGAAAATAATACATACCGGTCTTTTCCGCCAGCTTCTGCACTTCTGGGTAAAGCAAGAGCATAAACTCATTGCTACCGTTTTGTTCTGGAGCTTGGGAAGGTCGTAGATCGTGTCTTGATGTATCTGGTACAGAATTCGAACTTAATTCTTGTGAAGGCGATGGTGGTGGAAGTCGAGTTCGTTTTCGTCTTGGCGCCGGTGAAATACGTGGTTCCTCGCCATCTTCGCGCGTCAACGCCTCATTGATAATTCTGGCTTCCACTGCCAGGAAGTCCATATCTATGGCTCTCCCTGGTATGCGAACTGGTGATGATTCAGAACTTGGTGCGCTCATGCCATAAGGACTTTCTGCTTTAATTCGAAATTTATATTCACTTCCTTCAATAAGATCAAATAATGTGACGTTGGTTTTGCGACTAGTTATAGCTTTTAACCAGACATTCCACCCCGTTCGGTAGTATTCGACTATGTAATTACCAACTTTGCATCCCCCATCATCTGCAGGTGGCTCCCAATCTAATGTGACAGACTTATCAACTTGTCTCGTGACCGAAACATTTCGTGGAGGATCTGGTGGTGCGGTGACCGTTACGAGAAAAGCGGCTGTATCTTCTCCAATAATATTTTTCGCTTGTATTTGATATTCGCCACGATCACTTCTTTTTGCTGAATGTATTTTCAGTACGGAGAATTTAGGAGTGATTGAAATTTCGATTCGATCGTCCGTTATAATGGGGTGGCCATCGTGGCGCCATTCTATGGTAGGGGTCGGTTTTCCAACTATCGTTGTCTTTAAAAATATTGTTTCGTTTATTTCGTAAAGCAGCCCGTCTTCATATTGGCGGGGGTAACGTAATTTCGGTGCAGCTTCTAAACAAAGACGTGCTTTGGTAACAGCATGTCCGCCACGGTTAGTTGCTGTGCATTTAATTTCACCTTCGTCGCTGGGTAATATTTGATGAAATAAAAGTACGCTTGTCGACTCATCTGTTGTTATAGCGGTTCTCCTACTACTAAATATCTCGTAGTCGTCTTTGAACCACGCAATCGTAGGAGACGGTATACCACTAAAAGTGACATGGAATTCTACTTTATCGTTTTCTAAAGCAGTGACATCCTCCAAACGTTTAATAAAAACCGGAGGTTCCTGCGACGCTCGATCGGAACTAACTGTGAGTACGTCTGAAAGCTCACTGTAGTTAGAGTGACCGACGTCGTTCAGAGCTGCAACTCTAAATTGATATTTATGTGGTGGTTCGAGGCCTGTTAGTACCAGTTCGGGCCGCAATACGATTGGTGGTGCAGTGCGTATCCATTCTGTTGATCCTAACCTGTTACATTCGACCTGATATCCTCGTAAAGGCGCTCCTCCGTCGTGCGTCGCTGGCGCCCATTTTAATGTAATTGCATTCGGCTCATCGTCGGATAGTATTGGTATTATCTGTGGTTTACCTGGTGGTGCGGGTCTTCCTGTAACACGAAAACGCCAGTAAGAGCTCCATACGATTAAGTTTTGATTTAAATTTACTAATCGAACGTTAACCTTTCGCGGTAGTCACGTAGCTACCGGCCCACAGTCATTTGGCGAACCTCTTTCAAAATTAGACGCATGATAATCGTTACACGAAAGCGTACTGTCTTACGATTTGTTTTGTTGTGCCACGCGTTAGAAATCGAAGCGCGCAGTCTTTTTAAAAATAGAAACACAGGAGGGGCCTCGTTTATAATCACACTTAGGTATTAGGAAGGGAGGCGTGAAGTAATTGCTTTGGTAGATATTTGTGTGACGATGATTACCTGCAGATTTCCAATGAACGTTCTTCCTGGGCTTGAATGCATTGTGTGAGGCGGAATAGTGGTTGCCCATCGCGGCGGCGACGCGCGCCGACACACTGAGCGCGACGCCCGCGCTCCTCCCTCCCCGACCCCGCACCTGCTCCCACCCTGGGAATAACTTCGGGGCCTGTGTCTGGCTGCGTCGTCCGCCCGCACAGATGCGATCTTGATCTGTTTAATCGATTGCTTTTTATTACTATATGTCGAACGGATATGGCCTTTGGCTTATTGGTTTAAGCATTCTTTCATTTGAATACATTTGGTGCCAAAATTATTTTTAAAACAGCCATTTATAAACCGGAACTTACAGTTCGAAATGCATATATGTATTATATTTGTAGATGTAAATGTTTTCAGGAGGAATGAAAATTTTTAGTGACATCTAGCGCCTAAATCTAAAATTACAAACTCATAACTGAAGCGTAACAAAATTGAAAAAGTAAGGTGGGTATTTTATTTTTACAAATACAGTCCCGTTTCAAATGAAGAAGTATAGATGTCGTAGCTTGATGTTTTTATAAAATTTGCACATGTGGGAAACAGATGTCACTAGCATATACTTTACATAACTATCTGATGTAATTATGCAGGGCTGAGGTAAGGAGAATCATCTGTGTTGATCTGCGTTTTCATAAAATGAAATGTTAATAAAACGTTTGTTTGCATTACGCTTTGCAATTGTAGAATTGCTACGTTCATACCATACCCTTTATCTATACCAGCGTGATTGTGAGAGGTTTTGGAACTGTTATCTATATCATACAGCTGGACACTTTTCAACTTTTCTCTCGTATGAGATGATTCTCCTTACCTCTACCCTCCATAGATGTAATACATGAATAGCAAATATTTTAGTACTTTTATTGTGTTCATTATTTAATGTCGATATATATTTATGTTATATTTGCTTATATAGGTATTTTAAGCATAAAAATATAATAGAAATAATATTTAAATCGAATTTCCAAAGAGTAAGAAGTCAGAAAAGGGTTTTTTATTACACCCCCGATCACCCTCTTCGGTCAACCAATACCTGGATGCATCGATGACATTCCGCCCGCATATAAAATCAATCTGGAACCGCGCCGCCTTAATTCTCGACAGACTTTATTCTATGATTTGTATGCGAAGTAAAATGTACCTTCGGAACATAGCGAGACTTTCCAAACTTGCATAAAATCCGTCATGACTTACGCGAGTGTGGTGTTATACACACACATAGACACCCTTAATCCGCTACAATCTATGATCCCGCTTTTGCAGCTTAGCCGTCGATGGTCTTTGGTTCGTGAGGAACAACGACCTACACGACGATCTGGGCCTCCAATCGATCCGTAACACATGAAGACAGCGTCGGAACGGTACTTCGATAAGGCTCTGCGTCATGATAAACACCTGATCGTTGCCGCCGCTGACTACTCCCCGAATCCTGTCCACACAGGAGCCACTTACCGTCGATGCCCTAGACACGTCCTGACGGATCTATCAGATCCAATAACGCTTGCATTAGACGCCTTCAGCTCTAACACTAGGAGCAGGCTTAGGGAGCCCGGTAACCGTACTCCCCGAACTCGGCAAATAGTTCGACGTGTAACCTAACCTAAACATCAGTCCGCTGAGTTTCTCGCTGGATCTTCTCAGCAGTCGCGAAGCAGCTGCTCTTGAGTTGTTAGGTCTCCTTTGGAGGGGCTCAGACAGCTGTTAGCAAATCCAACCCCTCCTGACTAAAACCCTGCTCATCCACCTTTCCTGATGAATCTGAAAAGGCCTCCGGGCAATCAATAATCCCTCAATCATAAAAAAAAACAATTTTATGAATGATTAAAAATTGAATTTAATAAGATGATTTTACCAGTGTATATTAGATATCTTATTAATATGTCGTAAAATTTAGTAAGTGGGTACTATTTATTTATATCACTGGCGAGCCGTGCAGTTGATATTATCTGCGATAATCGTCAATTTACATTTGTAAACTTGGTCACCATATGTTTTTCAATAACGTCAACTACTTCATGGGAAATTCCCATGGAGTCAAATGTTCACAATTGACTTCCACGATGAAGGAATAACATCGTGTAATAAAAATCAAACCCGCAAAATTATAATTTGCGTAATTACTGGTGGTAGGACCTCTTGTGAGTCCGCGCGGTTAGGTACCACCACCCTGCCTGTTTCTGCCGTGAAGCAGTAATGCGTTTCGGTTTGAAGGGTGGGGCAGCCGTTGTAACTATACTTGAGACCTTAGAACTGATATCTCAAGGTGGGTGGCGCATTTACGTTGTGGATATCTATGGGCTCCAGTAACCAATTAACACCAAGTGGGCTGTGAGCTCGTCCACCCATCTAAGCGATAAAAAAAATAGTCAGGTTCACTCACTCAGTGATATTAATTACAGTGATATTAATACGGTGTCTTGTTACCTACTAATTTCAGTTTACTGCAAGCGCAATTTCAGTTAAGAATAAAAAATAAACGCTAATTTTAAATCGGTTTGATTGATTTTATTTACTGAACTGGTATGCAAGTTCGCCTTCAAAAGTACTTCAACAATCTCCCACGCGTTTTACATACATTTTGCAACAAACACATACATTCGAATGTTTCCAGATTTAACTATTTTTAATGATTCAGAATAAAACTAGGTTAGAAGAGATGTTTCTAGCTAAATGAAAGTTTCTTTTTTTTAGCGGGAAATCATTTAAGTATTCCTGCAAATAATTTGATACGTTGGATGTATTAAGAATTATTTTCATAACAGACAGAAAGTGTACATGATCCACGTACTACTATTAAAGCTCACTTCAAGAGACATACAGTTACTAACTATAATGATAATAATATAATTAATAAAATATAACTATACTGAGACCTTAGAACTGATATCTCAACGTGGGTGGCGCATTTACGTCGTAGATGTCTATGGGCTCCAGTAACCACTTAACACCAGGTGGGCTGTGAGCTCGTCCACCCATCTAAGCAAAAAAAATATATTTCTAGTTTGACCTACCTTATTAAAATAGGTATATGAATTACAATTGTACAAACGGCCAATAAGCCCGATTCTATGTGGCATTGCGGGTTCGTCAGATTACCAGCTTACCAAATTTAATGTAATATAAGATACTGATACTTACTTTGTTATTGCGGTTAACATTGATCTGCCTGTCTAAAAATAGTCGATGAAGAACAGAGAGACCAATATCTTTGTTGTTGTATTATTAATTTGAAAAATGATAATTAGATAATTGTAAATTTATCTTGAATTAACGCAACTCGTTAATCCATCTTACTAACGTATTTTGCTAGGTTTCTCAAAACTTACTAATTAGATGGTTGGTTAGGTAATTTTTTTTATAAAGCCTAATTATGCAAATTGCTTGAGATAATTTGTCTCTTATTTTAAGAAGTGTTTGTAACAAAATATTAATGTATGCTATGCGTATTTTATACCGTGAATATTAAATGTCGAAAAATAAAAGAGACTACGTTTTTGAAGCGGAAAGTGTGTACTTATAATTTCGATGTCGAGTCTAATCGACAAAGCGTATTTGGGAAACCAACATTCTCTGCGTCAATATAGAAATTCCGAGTTGTTCCTGCAGCCGGCAAAGTTATGGCTACTGTATTGTGATCTTGGGTAGAGAAAGAATCCTTTCAACCATTACATGCCGAAAGACTTTATCCACTACGTTACTCGATTCTAATAATCAGATCGATTTTCAAAAGTACCTACAGCGATTAGCAAGCAAGTAGTTAGATTTATTGGTTTATGACTCGCATACGATCAATAATCGAAATTCAACCATATTCACTCATACCTCAAGATTTAGGTTTATTTTATATCTTACATCTCTTTTGTCTTGTTTTTCACATAAAAGGAGATTATATATTTCGAAAATCAATAGTAATTCAATAAAAAATAAAAACGGTGAATACACAGAGCAGAACGTAGTACTTTTTTTTTTTTTTGTCAGTAGGAAATCGCCTGACTTCCGCCCTTTTCTGGGGATACTGGGCGGGGTATGTCAGAGTCGAACTGACTAAAACCTCCTGTCGCTCAACAACCAACGTCCAAACCTCGCATGAGACAGAACTCATGACAAGGCAAAGGGGGGAAAGCGTTTAGTGCGGAGCACATCTCTCCCATCACCCTCCCCCTCGGGACGCCGGACTGGCGGTCGTCGGCGCCACGACCACCAGCCCTCTCGGTCGGCAGACTGTCCGAAGCCCGCCTAGATGGCGCCAGTTAGAGTGGGTTACCCTACGGAATACCCCGCTGGGCCAAAACCAGCGTGGGTCGAGGGTAGCCGGCCTTCCATCACCCGGATGCTCTTGCGTTAAACGCGTGCAGAGCAGCTTGCACGTCGTCTTCTTAGGCCCCCCTTGCCGGTCCCCAGACCGACATGTGAGGGGGACCCGAAACACTTAGAGGGCCAGGGCTTGGGCGAGATCCGCCTCCCTGGCCCCCGCTCGACGGCGGCGGAATTGTGCGTCTCTCACGCACCCCGCCGCCTCCTTCTGCGAGATGGTGCACTCGCAGAAGTCGAGCATCGCCTTCCACGACTCGTCGTTGCCGAGCATCGATGCCACAACACTCGGCAACGACAAGTCGGTTCCTATTTTTGCGACGAGGACACGGCGCCACCCCTCCCATGCGGGGTAGGCAACGAGCGTATGCTCTGCCGTGTCCAAGTCGCAACCACAATGGTGGCACTCTGCCGTCGGCTCGGCTGTGATCCGGTGCAGGAACTCACCGAATCAACCATGCCCAGTGAGCACCTGCGTGAGCCGGAAAGTGAGGCGTCCTCTGTCACGATTCACCCAATCCACAAGGACCGGGCGAATCGCCTCGACGGTCCTACGACCAGCCGAAGGATCAGCCAGCCGTCTGGACCATGACTCCAACACGGATCGCCGAGATTGGGCCCTCCGCGCTCTGACCACACTGGGGCTGGGACGCGCCACGCCCCGGGCACGAAGGTCAGCCCGCCACTTATAGTCAGCGGCGAGCGCCTCCGCTTCCAGAACCCAAGGCGGCGTCCCAGCCAGTACACACGCCGCCTCAAAGGAGATGGTGCGATAACCACGGAT